AACAAAAGATCTTATTGGTTTGATTTTTTTGTGGATCGATTCATTACGCCACGATTCGAATCGATTTAAAAATGATTTTTTCGGAAAGAATCACATCCCTAGTCTGAACCTGATTCTGAACCAGCGTGCACTGTGGCCCTACCCTTAGGGAAGACCCCTCAGAGGGAGGGGTAACCCCCTCGCTGCTACGTTTTTTACAGATGTGATAAGTATTAAAAATAAGAGGGGTTTTAATGGTAAAACTGTACTTCCAGAGCCCAAGAGGTGATACATGTTTTTTTTTTGTAAAAAAGGTCTAATAACGAATTTTGACGTGACAACGTCTTAAATTAGGTTGCGGCTGGGAGTCACTTATGAAAAAGTGTAACGCTCGGTAACGTTACGATGAGTCTCTCGTGTTAAGTTTAAGTTTACATGTACAATGTTTTAGTAAACAAAATATATTTCTATAGTTAAAATTTGTGCAATTCTTATTTTCATTCAATTCCTTGTTCCTATTGTGCAATTTAATTATATTCATATCAATAAATATTCTACCGAGAAAAAGACGTTGTCACGTAAAATCTTCGCCCGTAAAACCGACTTTACAGGCAACCATTTTTTTTTTTTATTTGTGGTTAATCCTTTTTGGGCAAATAAGCATTGTATTTTCTTTGTGCAAGTTACAAAATAAACTTGGCGGTTAATAATGTTCCAGAAATAAGAGACACGAATAGCACAATAAAAGATGTCATCAACTTTTTTCTTTCTGGCGCTTCGCCGGCCGCTGCCGCGGCACGTTCGCGCGTTATGGTCACAACATTAACCTAACCTAGTGTGAAGTATCACCGCTAAGGAGGACGCTATGCTAGTCAGACGAATATCAACAGGAGTACGAAAACGCTCTCAACTGCGACGAACACAGACTGCCTGACGGATCTCAAAATAAACACAAAATAGGCTATTTGACAGTATGGTATATAATGTACCAATCGTTGGCATCTGTATTTAATATGAATAATAGCAGCGATATTACTATTCTAAAAAACAAATAATTAATAAAATTTATAAAAACTCATTAATTAAAAATGATTTTTTTGCTCCATGGTCACGTGTCCAGAAATGCCTGTGATTGGCCAAGACTAAAATGACGTCGCACGCTACTGGCTTGCGGCCAAAGTGACATTACATTGTATCGTTTGACGTTTTAATGATAGTCGTGTGACGTCACACACTAGTTTCGCGGCAACTTGTAAATTGAATTTTTAATTTTGTTTTTTACAGAAATACACAATAGAATTAAAAATATCCAACTTTATGGACTCCATAAATATTAGTTTAAAAGGTGGGATCGTTTTCTTAAACTTGTCAAATACCCTATTGCGGTATATCTCTGTCGGTATATTTTCACAATAGTACCAACATAATAAACATATTTTAACCACAGACAACGAGAAACATGTTATTTATGCATGAAAACATGACAGCACCAAGGAACTTATATACTAACTGGAATGCTTACGAAACAATATGGGAATTCAAGAAATGTACTCGAACTAATTACACATAAAGTCCATTTTTGTTTCTACCTTCATAAGGGGGGAAAATACTCCTAGCGCGACAACGACAAATGTGGAATCTGACCCTCTATTGCATCTGTTTGAGCACACTACTAGAACGACATAGATTCCACCAATTCAGCTATGTTCTTGGAACGATTTTGAGGGTCGCGTAAGCATTCCAGTTAGTGTAAAAGTTCCTTGGGCAGCACTGATCAAAATGACTGTCAAAATTGACTTTAACCTACAAAAATACAGGAATGTGACATTGTACAGTTTGTCTATAAAGTCGTGACATAAAATGATGGCGCCACTAGTATGCATGTAGCAACCCTATACAGTCGGACCAAAATGATTATGATACAAGCAGTTCATTCAAGTAAAATAGGTAATTAATAAGACACACTATACAGTCGTATTTTGTTTCTGTTTTATATAGTAGGTACCTATGCTTATAAAAAGTTTAGCCAAGCATATTTAATTGAATCAGAATAAAATTATTATAAATAAAATAGTACTTTATAGTGTAAAAGTGTGTAATGTTGGTGATTACCGCTGAGGTGCCATTGAGACCAGAGCCGTTAGGTAATCATCAATACACACAAGTATTATCATACGACGTTTTTTAACACACTTGTTAAGAAAATAATACTAAAAATCATTTTATAGTATATAAAAAGTTTATTTAGAGAAACAATTTGTTAATGTGCAGTTAGTAAAATTAGTGATCTTCACTAAAAGCATCTGGCCATGGTTCTTTATGTGACCATTTCTTTCATTGGTTGGCCTTGCCTGTTTTCCCAGGAGTTTCAAACTTTTCATCGTTCTCAAAACCTTCGTTGACTATCCGACTCTGATTTTCCTGAAAAAAGGTAAAAAAATATGTTAACGGAATAGAAATAATAACTTATTGACATGAAGCAATTAATTCAAAATTGGTAGAAAACGTGACAGAGTTGAACCTTAATAACGTATCAAAAGAAATGGTCGTACTACAATATTACCTATTTACAATGGTGTCGATTCCGGCGTGATTCTCTAAACTTAAATCTAAATTTAACATCAGTCTGTCCTTTTCATACTGTATAGAGAATGACAAAGATACACTGTTGTCAAATTTAAGTTTAGATTTAGAGAATCGTGCCAGAATCGACACCAATGTCAATCTAATCTAAAAATGTGCAATGTAAACAATGCCTTTTTTTGTCTCAAAATCGTAAATTGAGTAAATTTGTAACTTCAGGCAGATTACAAACAAATAGTTACACGATTACATACCCGTCATAGATGCTGTTCGCCCATAAACATCATCCAAATCCCACAAAATTCGTCCAGCTTGGTAGTCTTCGAAACATCGCTGGAAAACTTTAAAAATCACTTACCGCGTGCCACTCCGATTTACTTTACTCATTTTTATACCTTTCTGCGTAGTTTCGTCTTAATTTATTACAGTTTAATCCAAACAATAAAAAATACAAAAGGAAATCTGTTCCACAACTGAAACTCCATGACAGCTGATGTACATAAGTTTGGTGTTGCCTGCCAGACACATGAATAATGTTAGTTCCTCAAACATTCGTGTCACGACTTTATAGACAAACTGTGTATAAAAATCGATTTTTAATTAATCGGTTTATTTTTAGCAGTAAAAAGCGAGATTGATTTCTAACAATTGGTACGGTTAGAACTATACTTTTGTGTCGTGATGTGTTGTCAGCATTCTCATGTTAACCATACTAAATGTATGAAACAGATAGCTGTCTGATTGTTTCTGATGTGTCACAGACACAACACGACATATAAGTGCAGTTATGCCGTAGGCCATGGACATCATGAACCTAACGCCGCCCACTACTTCAATTCTTTGTATGTGTCTTCTATTTGTAAATTTAACAACAGTTTGTCTTTTTCATTCCATAAACAGTATGATAAGACAGTCTGTTGTCAAGCTTATTATTAGCATAGCAAATACGATTAGCCATGTGAAGTGCCGGCATGCTGTCGTAATGGCTTGACAGCTGTCAATTTTGTAGATATTTTGTATGGCAACTCAAAACAATTCTTTTTATTGTCGACGGGTAAAGAGAATGTGAGTTTCGGAAATATCAGTAAAATTATCCATAAAAATCATTGCTGCGTATATATTTATTTATGAGAAAATTTAGCTGGTGCGAACGTTGATAAATATAGTTTCGGATAATGTAAATATTTCTCATGCTGTGCATTGATAAATGCAGTTTAGTTTGATGTTTCAGTTTGTGTTGTACTTACAGTTTTGAAGTGAATTCTTGTAACAAATGTGCCTTGACTGGCGATAATTGTTTAAAGAGGATATTTTGGCGAGTAACCTCGTGCCCACTTTTATTAGCCACCAAGGATTTTTTTAATTTGGTTTGTTTTTGACAGCGTTGTGTTGAGGTTATCTTTGTTTTTCTCAGATCCATCCAAGATGGGTAAGATAATGAAACCGGGGAAAGTGGTGCTGGTCCTCAGTGGCCGGTACGCAGGCCGTAAGGCCATCGTGGTCAAAAACTACGACGAAGGCACATCGGACAAACCCTATGGTCACGCTTTCGTCGCCGGCATTGATAGGTATCCCCGCAAAGTCCACAAGAGGATGGGCAAAAATAAAATCCACAAGCGTTCCAAAATAAAGCCTTTCGTTAAGGTAAGTGTGTTACTTTCTTTTATTGTTATGAATGACATTTGTCTAGGCTACTACTGTTATGGTAGTGTCTAGTCCAGCCACCACTAAAACGAAGTATGTTATGTATTGGAAGGATATGAGAATGCATTTGTATTATTACATGCACAAGACTTCTGGTGTCATTATTGGTAGTTTTTAAGCTGAGTTTCGTTTTATGATGGGTTAAATTAAGAGGGAATTGACTAAATCATTGTCTCAATAGGTCAAAATCAAAGTAAGAAGTTTCTCATTATCATTAAATAGTTATGAAGGGAATCACAATTCATGTAGAATGTAGTTACAAAAAATAGTGGAGCAGTAGTTTAGCAAAATAAAAAAGGTAAGTCTTGAAGTGTATACTTTTGGACTCATCAGCCTTATTATGCATTGTATATCAAGGATCAATGTAGCATGGCTGTGTTTTCATGCTTTTTTAACAAATGATTATTATGATAAAAAAATAGCAGAATGAGAATATTTTAGTAAATTGTTAAGTTGTGATATAAATTTGGCAAAGTATTTTATACCTATTGCAAAAACTAATTTATTTGAAAATTTTCATTCAATGTGAGTAAATGCACTGCAGTTTTTAATTTTTACCTATTGATAATCAAAGAAAGTTTTAACAAAAAGTTATTCTAAACCAGCATGGTACAAAATTTATATATTAAAAGCTGTTTAATCAACTACTGTGCACTACTACTACTAGGTTTTAGATTGAGAAATATTTTGTCATATGCTTATAACAATACCAAATTTTATTTTAATTGTTTCAGCTTGTTAACTACAACCACCTCATGCCAACTCGATTCTCAGTCGACTTCAGCTTTGAAAAGTTCAGTGCAAAAGACCTGAAAGACCCTGCCAAGCGCAAGAAGCTGCGTTTCAACACACGTGTCCGTTTTGAAGAGAGATACAAGAGTGGAAAGAACAAATGGTTCTTCCGTAAGCTTAGGTTCTAAGATGTAATTTTAAAATAAACATTACTGTTGTAATGCATAATTTGTTTGATTCTGCAACCACCAACAATTAAAGAAAAAGACCATTTCCAGATAAATATAATATTTTATTTTCAATAAATTATTTAACAAGCAGTCAAACTTACATTTTAATATAATGTACAGTTACAGCACTATATCAAATTAGTAATAATTGTTATATGAGTAATTATAAATTTTAAATGTATTAATTATTATGAACCAAAGTAAACTGAATCCAATCTTAAAATTTTATCTTGTTCCACTGTAAATTGAATTACCATGGTCAATGACTACACTTTCATTAAGAGACCCAAAAGAAGAGAGAGTTTTCAGAAGGCGAATTTAAATTGATTTGCGACTAAAATGAACAAAATAATTGAGACATTGTGACACTACTGCAATTATAAAAACGGCATCAACTTTTGTATTGCAAACTATATGAATTTGCTAGACTGTTCTTGTAAATCACAGAAGCAACGAGGATAGTATTTTTACTATAATCAGTTTTCTAAATAAACTGTTCTGATGCCAAGTAGATAAAGCATTTGTTTTAAAAATAGAAACAATGTAAACACCAAGACCCAAGAAGCTAGTCAGTAGCTTTGGTAACTGGAAATTGGTGCTGTGCATAAGAAACTTGGAAGCTTCAACAATATTTGTTTGAACCTGTCTACTGCTATGATTTACAAGCGAAACGTTTTCCAACAATTGAAACTAAGCATGGGCGTCGTCATCACGCTGTGGCCAGCTTGGCGATCCTCTCGTCTAGTTTCTTGATCTCGCGCTGTAAGCTGTCGACATTGTGCGCGAACACCTGTACATAGATATTGAGATAGGTATAACATATCGGAATTTCTGCTCAAATTGGAGTGCTTGTCTGGGGAAGTAACCTCCAAATTCCAGTAGACCACAGTAAAAAAAACATTTTTTTTTCACGGTTTCAGGTTTTCACACACAGCACTCAAAACAAGTTTCAACAGTATAGATGCACTGATTTATTTATTTATGACGTTTTGTATTCTTTTCAGTCTGCGTAATAAAATTCTGATGATGCAGCCTGAAAAGGATGCGAAACGTCATATATAAATAAATCAGTGCATCTATAACGTTGAAACTTGTTTTATTAACTTTTTGTATTTCTGTCGGTGAGTAAGGTTCCAGGGCTCCATGGGGTTAGGGTAGGCAAGGGCCTGAGTGATATTGTTTGTATTGCAAGCGTCTATAATCTATGGTGGCGGATTACCATGAGGCGGGCTTATAATAATAAGCTTGCCACCCTTTTAACATAAACATATTGTTTTATATTTTATTAATTTATTCACTGCTAAACCAAAAATCTTCTCGATTTATAAAAGCTCAGGGTGAAGAGGCTTCGACCCAAAATGGACGGGGACCAACTCCTTAACTTACTTTCTGATGTCTGGAGGAGTTCGAGAAAATATTTTTTTTCATCCACAAGAGCAGAGGGAGTAAAAGTTGGGAAATTTTATATTTATCATCATCAGCCAATTAATGTTTCCACTGCTGGAACGCAGGCCTTCCTTACAGATGGGATAAAGAGATTGGTCCATGATTCACCCCACGGGTCCAGTGCATATTAGCAGGTGCTACCGTGACCAAAAAAAGCATGGAGGAGCTAGAGTTGAAAAATTTTTGGTCACCCATCCCTACGACCGACAATTAGGAAAGTTGCTTGACTTCCACAATCGCAGTCCGAATGCGCTAACGCACTAAACGCACATTAAGAGCGCGAAATTTTAATAATATTTAATGCTTAGTCCATGTTGAAGTTAGTTTTCAACTTGACATGTCAAGAAATTTTACTAGAAGAAATTCCACGGGAAGCAGGCAGCAGACGGAACTCCAACCCGCACCCTCCGCTGTCCGGGCGGATGCACTGACCATTATGCTACAGTGACCAATGGATAATTAGGGCCAGTTATCTTCGCGTTTGGACTTTATCACCACTTAACATCGGGTGGGGCAGAGTCATTTGCCTACCTAGCTATAAAAAATAAAAAAAAAACCTTGGTTTGTGATAAGACAGGGAATTAAAAATATCCCTCATTGATGTTGAAAGGTAGGTAATAAGTACCTCTTGAACTCCTTGAAGGAGCTCCTTGTTGTTCTGTACGCCGCTGGCGATTGTGCTCTGCAGTGTTTCCAGCTCTGTTAGCGATTTACCAAAGTTGCTAGCTGGAAAAATATTTCTTTTATAGAAAACTTTAAATCAATGTTATTTAAAACTTTCGAAAGCTTTTCATAAGTAAAAAAGGGCATCTGTATCACTAAACCCAATAATAAAATAAAATAAACGAGCGATCCTTACAGTAGTCGCGTATGATGTGTAACATTTGAAACCTCACCTTATAATAGTAAGAAAATAAATAAAACCTACTACAAAAGGAATAAGCCATTTGAACATTATGTTCTAAAATCAAATGAAATAGCGGGCGCTTTCGCGACTTCTTGTTACACACTTCCGTCCCATTTCACAAAATCACTCCCACATTTTGCAGGAAAGCGAGAGGAAGGATATTACGGTATTAATGTCTCCATTTCTGGGACACGACCTTCCCTATGGATGGAATAGGGACATTGGGCAATGACCCACTACGCGGTCCCAGTGTGGTGGTTGCTAACGACTGCAGATGCAGCCGGGACCAACGACTTACCATGCCTACCGAAGCACGAAGAAACTCGATATAGTAAATTTTTGGTCACCCATCTAATGACCAACCACTGCGAAGTTTCTTATTTTCAACGATCGCAGCCGAACGCGCTAACTTCTTGCGCCATCAAGTTCTTCAAGTTATATCATAAATGCTTGCAAAGCTGATATTGCTTATTCTGACACCATCCAGCTCAAGTAGCCCAGCCGCCCTTACTTACATGAGAAATTTGAGCAGAAATTCCTATATTATCACATTCTAAATTATCTTACCTTGGTTGTGTAATCCTTCCAGTGCTTCCATGCGCTCCAGAATCTCTGAATGTGATATACCATCTATCTGTTTCAAAAGTTTATACAATTCATTGACCTGAAAATGAAAAAAATATCGTTTAATACATGAATTCGTTTTTTTTATTGGAAATTATTCAAATTGGTCTGTGGTATAAGATTAGGTAGTTAGTTTTTTTATTGTGATTTTTGATGTGTGTAAAATTAGACCTATTTAAAACCCTTTTAATTGTGTCGATACCGGCATGATCCAAACCTAAACTTAAGAGCCCTTTTACAAAATTGCGCCACTGCCGTACTGATCGGCGCGTGGGTACATTTGCACTAGTAATACATATTGCATTTTACGGTGATGTTTCGAGTCTTAAAAAATAATTATTATTGAACTAATTATAAAAATATACACATACTAGTGGCCCGCTCTCGCTTCGCTTCGGTGTAGAGCTGAAGTGTAGACTACAGTTTTTGTTCTCGGGCTGGTATTATACACAATGACATTCATCTATGATTCTTCTTATACCTGCATGCAAATTCTCAGCCTGATCGGTTTAAAATTGACAAAGTTTCATACAAACTTTCATTCCCTATTTTATCCCCTTGGGGGTAGAATTGATCAAATTCCTTTCTTAGCGGATGCCTACGTCATAACATCTAGCTGCATGCCAAATTTCAGCCCGATCCGTCTAGGGGTTTGGGCTGAGCGTTGATAGATCACTATGTCAGTCAGTCACCTTTGAGTTTTATATAGATTTCAGTAGTTCAATGATAGTAGATTAGTTTTATGAAAGTTTTTGATAGTAATTCTATATTTAATTCAATATCAAAATACAAGGTAAACCTGCATTATTTTTTGGGAAAACTCACGGAGGTTAGATGTCTTTTTTGATAATTAATGAGATAGAAAATCAAAATTCTAATACATTATGTTACAACAAAAACATATTTCTAATGTCGTAGTAATTAAGTTGATCTAATTTATTGAACATTATTTAGAGATTCAGGCGTTCGAAGTTGTGCATATTATCGTTTTTTCTGTAAACTAGTTGCGGTAGAACGATCAGTACAGAAAAGGAAAATAGTATTTGCAAATATTCTACATTAACTTACAATAAAAAGAACAATTGTACTGTTTACTTCTATTGGAAATAGTCAAAATCTTTTCTAAAGGGGTAAACGAGGCGCTCGAAAATTACGATTTTTTGCAAAAAATGTGAAAGGGCTCTTGAATTTGACAACCGTGTATCCATGCCTCTAACTAGTTATCACTCACTTTCTTCTCCAGTTGCGGGTCCTGCGGCTTCACAGCTGCCATTAATGGGTCTAGTACTCTAGTAAATTGAGGGTAGTTATCACTCACTTTCTCCTCCAGTTGCGGGTCCTGCCGCTTCACAGCTGCCATTAATGGGTCTAGTACTCTAGTAAATTGAGGGTAGTTATCACTCACTTTCTCCTCCAGTTGCGGGTACTGCGGCTTCACAGCTGCCATTAATGGGTCTAGTACTCTAGTAAATTGAGGGTAGTTATCACTCACTTTCTCCTCCAGTTGCGGGTCCTGCGGCTTCACAGCTGCCATTAATGGGTCTAGTACTCTAGTAAATTGAGGGTAGTTATCACTCACTTTCTCCTCCAGTTGCGGGTCCTGCGGCTTCACAGCTGCCATTAATGGGTCTAGTACTCTAGTAAATTGAGGGTAGTTATCACTCACTTTCTCCTCCAGTTGCGGGTCCTGCGGCTTCACAGCTGCCATTAATGGGTCTAGTACTCTAGTAAATTGAGGGTAGTTATCACTCACTTTCTCCTCCAGTTGCGGATCCTGCGGCTTCACAGCTGCCATTAATGGGTCCAGTACTCTAGTAAATTGAGGGTAGTTATCACTCACTTTCTCCTCCAGTTGCGGGTCCTGCGGCTTCACAGCTGCCATTAATGGGTCTAGTACTCTAGTAAATTGAGGGTAGTTATCACTCACTTTCTCCTCCAGTTGCGGGTCCTGCGGCTTCACAGCTGCCATTAATGGGTCTAGTACTCTAGTAAATTGAGGGTAGTTATCACTCACTTTCTCCTCCAGTTGCGGATCCTGCGGCTTCACAGCTGCCATTAATGGGTCTAGTACTCTAGTAAATTGAGGGTAGTTATCACTCACTTTCTCCTCCAGTTGCGGGTCCTGCGGCTTCACAGCTGCCATTAATGGGTCTAGTACTGTAGTAAATTGAGGGTAGTTATCACTCACTTTCTCCTCCAGTTGCGGATCCTGCGGCTTCACAGCTGCCATTAATGGGTCTAGTACTCTAGTAAATTGAGGGTAGTTATCACTCACTTTCTCCTCCAGTTGCGGGTCCTGCGGCTTCACAGCTGCCATTAATGGGTCTAGTACTCTAGTAAATTGAGGGTAGTTATCACTCACTTTCTCCTCCAGTTGCGGGTCCTGCGGCTTCACAGCTGCCATTAATGGGTCTAGTACTCTAGTAAATTGAGGGTAGTTATCACTCACTTTCTCCTCCAGTTGCGGATCCTGCGGCTTCACAGCTGCCATTAATGGGTCTAGTACTCTAGTAAATTGAGGGTAGTTATCACTCACTTTCTCCTCCAGTTGCGGGTCCTGCGGCTTCACAGCTGCCATTAATGGGTCTAGTACTCTAGTAAATTGAGGGTAGTTATCACTCACTTTCTCCTCCAGTTGCGGATCCTGCGGCTTCACAGCTGCCATTAATGGGTCTAGTACTCTAGTAAATTGAGGGTAGTTATCACTCACTTTCTCCTCCAGTTGCGGGTCCTGCGGCTTCACAGCTGCCATTAATGGGTCTAGTACTCTAGTAAATTGAGGGTAGTTATCACTCACTTTCTCCTCCAGTTGCGGATCCTGCGGCTTCACAGCTGCCATTAATGGGTCTAGTACTCTAGTATCGTGAGGGTAGTTATAACTCACTTTCTCCTCCAGTTGCGGGTCCTGCGGCTTCACAGCTGCCATTAATGGGTCCAGTACTCTAGTAAATTGAGGGTAGTTATCACTCACTTTCTCCTCCAGTTGCGGGTCCTGCGGCTTCACAGCTGCCATTAATGGGTCTAGTACTCTAGTAAATTGAGGGTAGTTATCACTCACTTTCTCCTCCAGTTGCGGGTCCTGCGGCTTCACAGCTGCCATTAATGGGTCTAGTACTCTAGTATCGTGAGGGTAGTTATAACTCACTTTCTCCTCCAGTTGCGGGTCCTGCGGCTTCACAGCTGCCATTAATGGGTCCAGTACTCTAGTAAATTGAGGGTAGTTATCACTCACTTTCTCCTCCAGTTGCGGGTCCTGCGGCTTCACAGCTGCCATTAATGGGTCTAGTACTCTAGTAAATTGAGGGTAGTTATCACTCACTTTCTCCTCCAGTTGCGGATCCTGCGGCTTCACAGCTGCCATTAATGGGTCTAGTACTCTAGTAAATTGAGGGTAGTTATCACTCACTTTCTCCTCCAGTTGCGGGTCCTGCGGCTTCACAGCTGCCATTAATGGGTCTAGTACTGTAGTAAATTGAGGGTAGTTATCACTCACTTTCTCCTCCAGTTGCGGATCCTGCGGCTTCACAGCTGCCATTAATGGGTCTAGTACTCTAGTAAATTGAGGGTAGTTATCACTCACTTTCTCCTCCAGTTGCGGGTCCTGCGGCTTCACAGCTGCCATTAATGGGTCTAGTACTCTAGTAAATTGAGGGTAGTTATCACTCACTTTCTCCTCCAGTTGCGGATCCTGCGGCTTCACAGCTGCCATTAATGGGTCTAGTACTCTAGTAAATTGAGGGTAGTTATCACTCACTTTCTCCTCCAGTTGCGGGTCCTGCGGCTTCACAGCTGCCATTAATGGGTCTAGTACTCTAGTAAATTGAGGGTAGTTATCACTCACTTTCTCCTCCAGTTGCGGATCCTGCGGCTTCACAGCTGCCATTAATGGGTCTAGTACTCTAGTATCGTGAGGGTAGTTATAACTCACTTTCTCCTCCAGTTGCGGGTCCTGCGGCTTCACAGCTGCCATTAATGGGTCCAGTACTCTAGTAAATTGAGGGTAGTTATCACTCACTTTCTCCTCCAGTTGCGGGTCCTGCGGCTTCACAGCTGCCATTAATGGGTCTAGTACTCTAGTAAATTGAGGGTAGTTATCACTCACTTTCTCCTCCAGTTGCGGGTCCTGCGGCTTCACAGCTGCCATTAATGGGTCTAGTACTCTAGTAAATTGAGGGTAGTTATCACTCACTTTCTCCTCCAGTTGCGGGTCCTGCGGCTTCACAGCTGCCATTAATGGGTCTAGTACTCTAGTAAATTGAGGGTAGTTATCACTCACTTTCTCCTCCAGTTGCGGATCCTGCGGCTTCACAGCTGCCATTAATGGGTCTAGTACTCTAGTAAATTGAGGGTAGTTATCACTCACTTTCTCCTCCAGTTGCGGGTCCTGCGGCTTCACAGCTGCCATTAATGGGTCTAGTACTCTAGTAAATTGAGGGTAGTTATCACTCACTTTCTCCTCCAGTTGCGGATCCTGCGGCTTCACAGCTGCCATTAATGGGTCTAGTACTCTAGTAAATTGAGGGTAGTTATCACTCACTTTCTCCTCCAGTTGCGGGTCCTGCGGCTTCACAGCTGCCATTAATGGGTCTAGTACTCTAGTAAATTGAGGGTAGTTATCACTCACTTTCTCCTCCAGTTGCGGATCCTGCGGCTTCACAGCTGCCATTAATGGGTCTAGTACTCTAGTATCGTGAGGGTAGTTATAACTCACTTTCTCCTCCAGTTGCGGGTCCTGCGGCTTCACAGCTGCCATTAATGGGTCCAGTACTCTAGTAAATTGAGGGTAGTTATCACTCACTTTCTCCTCCAGTTGCGGGTCCTGCGGCTTCACAGCTGCCATTAATGGGTCTAGTACTCTAGTAAATTGAGGGTAGTTATCACTCACTTTCTCCTCCAGTTGCGGGTCCTGCGGCTTCACAGCTGCCATTAATGGGTCTAGTACTCTAGTATCGTGAGGGTAGTTATAACTCACTTTCTCCTCCAGTTGCGGGTCCTGCGGCTTCACAGCTGCCATTAATGGGTCCAGTACTCTAGTAAATTGAGGGTAGTTATCACTCACTTTCTCCTCCAGTTGCGGGTCCTGCGGCTTCACAGCTGCCATTAATGGGTCTAGTACTCTAGTAAATTGAGGGTAGTTATCACTCACTTTCTCCTCCAGTTGCGGGTCCTGCGGCTTCACAGCTGCCATTAATGGGTCTAGTACTCTAGTAAATTGAGGGTAGTTATCACTCACTTTCTCCTCCAGTTGCGGGTCCTGCGGCTTCACAGCTGCCATTAATGGGTCTAGTACTCTAGTAAATTGAGGGTAGTTATCACTCACTTTCTCCTCCAGTTGCGGATCCTGCGGCTTCACAGCTGCCATTAATGGGTCTAGTACTCTAGTATCGTGAGGGTAGTTATAACTCACTTTCTTCTCCAGTTGCGGGTCCTGCGGCTTCACAGCTGCCATTAATGGGTCTAGTACTCTAGTATCGTGAGGGTAGTTATAACTCACTTTCTCCTCCAGTTGCGGGTCCTGCGGCTTCACAGCTGCCTTCAAGGCATCCACTCCGGTTAGTAACGCGGCGACGCGCGCCTCAGCGGCGGCAAGCTCCCCGCCCCGCACGAGTCCCGTTTGCGCCGCTAACGAACGCGCCGCGCCCATTAACGTCGCCTGGACAACACCACAATGTTAAGATTAACACCACAACACCACCAAGGAACTCGAGTCTACAATAGGGATGATGACTAATTTTTTTCTTCGTTTATCAGGTAGATTATCAAAAAGTATTGGACACGTGTCCAATACTTTTTGATAATCTACCAATTTTTTCTTTTTTCACATAATATAAACATTGCAGAGTTATATTGATTTGAAAAGTCGCATGACGTCACGTTTGAGTACACTTATAAGGGAAAATTCACTCAAAAGTGACGTCACGAGCCCCTACTCCCAAACTTTGACGCGCTATAACTTTGTCATTTTTTGGTTGATTGCCCAAAGAAAAAATACGTGTCCATTATTTTTTGATCATCTAACTGACAGACTAAATAGAATTTAGTTTACTGTACCCCGTCATCACCCCTATTACGCCGCGATGTGGCATCATTAAGCGCATTCTACCGACTATACCACGGCGAGTGTTCTGAGGAGTTATTCTCCCTTATCCCTCCATCACCTTTTCTTCAGAGGACCACGCGTGCTGGCTTACGTTGCCACTGACTTACTGTGGCCACTATTCCTACACAAACAAAGAAATTTGGTGACTCATTTCTTTGTCGTACTATTCGTAAGTGGAATTCTTTACCCGCGCAAGTGTTCCCTCCTTCCTATAATCTGGGGTCCTTTAAGAGGCGTGAAGAAGAATTTTTGCAGGCCGGCAAGGTGAGGATGATTGGTGTAGTAGTTTATAACTACTGTACCAGCTATCTTCGCGTTTGGACTTTATTACCACTTAACATCAGGTGGGGTAGTCATTTGCCTACCTCTATATAAAAAAAAAAAATTTTTTTTTCAGTGTGTATGCTGTTGGTCGCAGATAGGATTGCCACCCGTACTTTATTATAAGGTATTGTACGTTGTCGTGGCTGTATGGCTTTACACGCATAGCTGCCGATCGCAGCCGCGCGCGATCCTTCGTTTGCAGCAATGCTCGGAAGTCTACCTTCACATCGCCATAACTTTATCGGTTACCTTTAGCAAGCCGCATAACATTTTTAAATGTTGTTAAAAAATCTGACCTTATCACTATCAGCAAGCATCGTTGGATCAGTGTAAGAAAGCTCGCCAGCCACGCGGGCGGTCCAAGTTCGATTTATAAGACAGGGTAACATCAACAAAGTATTAAACATTTTGAAGAGCAGTAAATCATGTTAAAAATTTCACTTGAATCGTGATTTCATCACCAATTTTCATGTACTTATCATGAATTTTACATAAAGGTTCCTTTAATTCATGCCATAACTGATCCTCACCTAGTTGCTTCTTCACTCCTCTTCTAAAGGACCAAAGTATTATGAAATTTAATAATTAATTGTTTAATTCAATAATGTACTTATGGTAAGCTACCTATAAATAATGATTGGTTGAATACCCGGGAATGAACTTTTACTCACCTGACCAGTAACTGCTTGTAGTCTTCGGAATGCCTCTTCGTCCCTTACACCGGCAACTTGCTCTAACTTATGCAATCTGCCAGGAAAAAAATAAGTTGTGTATAATGTATTCATAGTAAATACTGTACCATACTATGCTTTCTTTCTAGACTAATAAAGGCTGGCTGGAGTAAACGAGAATGTTTCGAGATACATGCAATGGTCCAATAATTAGGACTAAGTGTGGAAACTGCCCGGAAAAACTAAAGTGATACTTACAAGAGTGTAGGCCGTACAAAAGGTTTGCATAAAATATTGATATCATGAAAACATAGATTAATTTACTGACCTATGCTCCAGTTGGGCTATTCTCGTTGTCTGAGCGAGATTCACTTCAGGTTTCAGTTTAAGATGGGCTGTCACAACTTCACCCTTCTTCTTACTATTGACTGAAAGGTATTCCCTGAAAGTCAGTAATGACATTAATCTAAATTATTAATCAGAAGAACAACAAAGGTATAACACAAAATTTAGAAAAAAATATAAAATAAAGTGAATAGACTGATAATGATGATTTAGCCGTCTATTATTTATTAACAATTAAGTAAATATTAATACAGTCGAAACCAGATATAACGACATTGAAGGGACCATATAATTTCAGATGTTATATCTGATAGTTGTTATAAGCAATATACACAAGTTATCATATGTATGTATGTAGTATGGTTGTAGATAATAATAATAATGAATATAAGCTTGTTTTCAAATAAAAAAGTAATAAGTTTACCATGAAAAAAATTAAGTACCTGCAGTATATTTTGTTTTGCTGGAACAACTAAAACGGTTGGACTTTATAGGCGATGAATATTGATATGAACTTTCTCAATATTCATTGGCTATGGTTGATTCAAGCCGTATTTCGCTATATCCGGTGTTGTTATAGGCGGTTTCTTTATTTAAGGGTTTATATCAGATTTCGGTTGCGACCTTGCCAATTGATCATAATAACCGACACGTCGTTATATTCGGTTTTGACTTTCGTTATAAAATAAAAGCCTTTATTAAAGCCACCACTTTGTTACAGGATAAAAATATTACGTAACAGTTAAGTAATCTAAATAGTGTGTAAGTGACACAAGGCCTCCCCCAGCCACTACAGAACATCCAATTGTTTTTCGTATTTTTGAAGATACCCTGTTTCTAATCTTCTCCACTCAGATCTGATTTGGGCTATGCTTTTCCAGTGAACTCCCACCATCTGTTGAGATCCTCTACCCATCTGGTAACCTGTCATCCTCTGTTTCTTTTCCCACCTCTGGGGTACCAGTTGGTAACAACTGTACTCCATTTTGTTTAGGTGAGCATTGTGTGGCCTCTATCTCCATTTTTATTGAGCTATTCCAGTTGGGATGTAAAAAATGGAAATGGACAGGCCACATGATGCAACTCAAAATGTGACATAATGAGAATAAAAGAGATAAAGTCAGCTTCCGAAATTTTGCTTACTTTAATTTTTCTGCCTTAGGGTCTATCAATTCTCCCTCCTCCAATTTTAATTCTTCTAGGAGCTTTTTAGTTGTATTAATTTGAGTTGCCAGCTTTGTAAACTCCTCCTGAAAAATGAAATGGTTTGTTGTAAATTGGTTTTTCCATTGAGATTGATTCTCTTATTCCATCCATTTTTAAAATACTCATTAGATTTTGATAAAATATAAATCTGAGTAAAGACTTAATTGTGGTGTTAGTTTTGGACACAAAACTTTCTACTATTAACAGTCCAACTGAGCCATCAAATAATTATTCTATAAATTGTTTGGACACTTTCCGAAACACTGTAAAAATATATAGCCCTAAATATAAAACAATGAAGGGACATACAAAGAAAGAACAATGAATTGTTATATTAAACAATTGGAGAGAATTTATCTAAAATTGAATGAGAATGAATCGGACGCAAGACTGTTTTAAACCAATTTTTATAAATAATGACTATTAGTTTACTTAAAGTAGGGGGAGAGGGCATACACATGAGGTCACTTTCTCTACTCATGATTTGTTTGAATTACCTTTTCACTTTCAGATGCCTTATTCTTTTCTTCAGTGACTTGCTCAAGAAGCTCAGAAAATTCACATCTGAGTCTGTTGTAGCGTTCAATTGCAGTCTCTGGCTCACCCTCTGCTGCCAACTCCCATTCACCTGCTCTATAAAGTAGAAAATGAGTCCCATTTATAAGCATCTTTCCTCACAAATTCATATTGTTTAGCAGTCACATACTATTATCATATCTTAACTAGTTATCAAGTAATTTTAATTAATTATTTTTTTAAATTTTTGATGTCAATTAAGTAAGATACTGTTATGAAAAATTACAATTACAATTATTCTCAACCCAAATATTGAATCTAAATCTTTATAACATGACATAGCAACCCTTTAGTAAAACTAAAATATGCCTGTGTTTACCTGTATCCGATCCTTGTCTTTCGACTAAGTCTATCAGAAAAATCCACTGTACCAGTTAGGAATTTGCCTTTAAATTTATTGAAGGAGTCTTTTACTGAAAGGTGTAGTTGCTCAATGCATTCATTCTCCTCTTCTTCGTTGGGTTCTGGTTGGTCTGCTTCAGGCAAATCACCGGTTTCATAAACATCAGGTTGATCATAAGCCTGTGAAAATAAGAGGAGCTTACCCACAAGTTACAATAATCGATAATACACTTTCATATCTGGACTTATTCTACTAACTATGCCGGGTAGGTTTTCGTATTTTGGATCTGCCATCGTAGAGTGGAGTTAAAAAAAATAAGTAGTTTAGTTCAATTTCCGATTTTAATAATTTCGGCCGTATTTGGGCAAAATGACGTCAGGCAGTAGGCTTTTTTTTTAATCTCCTTATAACGGAAGGCAAAGGATATGGTTTTCTACATAAACAAGCTTTCTGTCTAATTTTCTGCCTATCTATTATGATCTATTTATACCGGCACTTCAGTTGGCTATAAATATTGGCAAATATTGGCTATAGAGTCTGTCCTTGTCATGCTTTTTGAAGAGTGAAAGAAAAGAACAGACTGAAGTCAAGTCTTAGAAATTCTAAGTGAGAAGTTTACAAATTGTAAACACGAATAGCCGACAAAACTTAAGTGCCGGCATTACACAAAGACTTATATTATATAGAGCACAGTGTATGAGAACGCGGGCCGCTGCATATTTCGTTTCTGTGTGTTTTTTATTGGATTAATGGAGCATATTACACTTTTGAAAAGCACGATATCATGATATTATTGTCATTGTAATATGCCGTATCGCAATATTACCGGTGCAACTTGTGATACTGCTCCCAGAATCACAATAATGTTGATTAGTGTAAAATACCCCAATAAACATTTTATCACTCTTTCAGCCTCACTCAGCCTCTTATCCATTATAGCGTTAATTCTTCGTCCATTCTCTAATTACTATTGTTTGAAGCTCAGATTTTCGAGCTTTCGGCACATTTTGGGATTCCATGAAAATAATGGCACTATTGAAGTTTCATAATTTTTCCTTCAATGAAGAATCCTTTGTTGTCCATTCCGAATAAAAAAAAATACTGTCATATTGACAACGACATTACACTTTGACCCACACGTCAGATAATTTCGAATCCAGTTCTTCCTCGCTTTTTATTCCCAAATCTACCAAGTTCGTTCACTTTTTTCTATAACCGATGGTATTTTAAATGTATTTAAGAAAACTTGGTAATCAATTGAAATAATTGTATTGCAACTAGCACACATTTTTGTTTGCTTTCTTACATCATCTTGTTGTCATTTTTCGTGAGTCACAGATATTTCCGATAGACCTACATAAGTAGTTTCACAATAATTCATCAGGACGCAGTGTGATAAATTGCCGGAGCCGGTAAAAGTTTAGTTTAGTATATTTTTTACATTCACAACGATGAGTCTACAGTGGACTATTATTGCAACGTTCTTGTACGCTGAAATAGGCGTTGTGTTACTCCTCACATTGCCGATTGCTAGTCCCTCAAAATGGCAGAAATTCTTCAAATCGAAGTTTCTAGCATATATAGGAAATCAAGCTTTTATATACTTCTTTGTACTGGTCGGAATTTTAGTATTGTGCCTTCTGGATGCCATTCGTGAGATGCAAAAATATTCCGAGGGGGGCGAGAAAACTGATCACCTACATCTTGATGCGGAAATGCAAGGTAACATGCGCTTGTTCCGCGCGCAGAGGAACTTCTACATCTCTGGATTTGCACTGTTCCTCCTTGTCGTTATCCGCCGGTTAGTGCAGATGATTTCGCAACTGGCTGTTTTATTAGCGCAAAGCGAGGCCAACTTCCGTCAGGCACAAAGTGCGACCACAACGGCTAGAACTCTCCTTGCACAACAAGGAGCTGGTGATGAGCAGACCAAAAAAGAGGTTGAAGATCTGAAAAGTCAAATTTCCCTCCTTGAAAAAGAGTTATCTAAAGAGAAAAAAGACAAGGAAGCTGTGAAGTCTCAAGCTGAAAGTCTGAACAGAGAGTATGATCGCCTTGCAGAAGAACACAGTAAGTTACAGAAGAAGATTACTGTCTCCAGTGGCGGAGATGGGAAAAAGGATGAGTGAACTTAGATTTTTTTGCAATTGGATAATGATTTAAGGCAGTCTGATTGCCTATGCCTAAAATACTTACAAAAATATCTATATTATTATTGAATCAGTTCAGACTGTTGATTAAACTTTACTAAAAGTCTGTTCAGAAATTAATCTATTAAGTATAATCTCTATTCAATGTTACACTTAGACTTAACTTTTGACCTTGCAATGCAAAATTACTTGAAGATTGAATCAAATTTAGATTAATCAAATAAGGTTTTTATAAATAATTATGCACCACATTTATTATCATTTAAACTGGTTATTATTGAAAAAAAATATTGATTCATCAAATTGAATGTTCTGAATTGGTTGTTCACTCTGTAAAGTTACTAAACTTATTGCTTCCTGTACTGGTATAGTTCATATCTTTAAGTTGTTTCGATAACTTGGAGGTAATATATTTTATTGTTGAAGTAGTCTGCTCTTTTGTGGGAAAATAGGTTATTTAATACTGAATTGACTGTTCTGTTAAATAGAAGTTGCCAACATTGTTTACATATTTTTTTCTAATAGCAACTTGCATTTGAATATCCAAGTTAAATATTCGTTTTAAACATGTTTATTCTTAACAGAAATAGTAGTTAACATTTAGTTTTTCAATGTTATTGTTAACTGAAACTCTGAACAGGAACTGACAGCTTAAATTCTATTATTATGACAAAGCTAAGTTCCCAGTAGTCAAAACATGGTGATCATTATGAATGCTCAGATGTTCTGGTATGGGTGTACCTTGTGTAACTTTAATAAAAGAAATTTACTAAACCAGACAAGAAGGTTTTTATTCTTATATAACAGATTATTGTTTTTGTACCAACCTGTTATAATAAGAGACAATCAATACATCATAGAGTAATTATTTTAAGAGAATGTTCGCAATCTGAAATACAACATTCAGATGAATTCATGCTACAAAAGTCAGATGTAAATATTGGCAGAATATAAAAAGAACTAAATATACTTCTTCATGAAAGCTTGAATAATGTTAGTAAAACTCACATTTGCTTTCATAATTGTTTTTATTAGTTCACATTTATGGTATAAGAGTAAAAATTTAATTTAAAAGAATGTTACTGTGTGCATGACAAGAAAGTATGAATGGGTAGTTATACTGGATCTTACGTTATTATTTTATTAACTCTGCTTTTATTCTGTATGTATAGTAATTTATGTTCATTATGGCATTAGATGTTTTGGTTCTTGGGTTGTGTTTTGTAGAATCATACTTTTGCATTTAGTATAGTTTTGTTACTTTGAAATGGAGTGTTAATACATTTATTTTGTATTTTATTAAGAGCTTTTATTTATTCCAAGAAATCACTGTGTGAACTCTAGTCTCAAATGTATTACTTGCTTCATGGATTTGAAGGCTTATTTGATTATATGCTAAACCTGTTAGTCTTTGGGATGTGTCAACTTTGAAGGTGGTTAATGTTGGTCTAAGTCCAAATAGGGGAATACCTGGCCAACAGCTGGCAAGCTGTCAATGTACCTCAATGCGCAAAGCCTTTTTTTTTATTACGCAGGCAAAACCTCTATTTACAGACGTTGGCGCCCTTAAGGGGCACACCAACGAACGGACCTCACACCTAGCCTCTCGCAAGTCTCACGGGTGCGAAACGGAGAAGCCGTTAAGCAGTCCGCGTGGCTTACGAGCGCTTACGGCATACTATCCGCTAAAAAATCCTGCTAATACCCTCTACGCTGTTAAGTGCGGATCCGCGAGATCCCCGTTGAGAGGCTTCACCGCGTCTCCGCATCCAAGAGCCTCCCGGCCTAACCGGGGCCTAACGGCCTGCTGTTAATACCCTGGGTGATCCCTTGATCACCCGGGGTATTTAGGGAGATCCCCAGACGTGCACAAGACTGCCCGCGCTAGGAGCTAAGAGCGCGACCTATTGCCCACCGCACCGCTGCCCGTCCGCTGCGGAAGGGCTGCTTAGGTGTTTCCCTCGCAGGCCCTTCCGCGGCCCTTTCATTTAGGAGTGCGTAAAGCCTAAGAAATTAGTTAAGATGATGCAATATAAGGACAGTTCTTTGATTTAACGATAGGCGATCGCGGGACTGACTTAATTCCGTTTAAGTCAGTCCCGTAGGTACGTGCCTCTTCTTCTTCTTTTATGCGAGCTTCATTTGATGTGATTGGGTAGTATATCGATTAAACTTGATCGATTAAAGGAGCAGAATATAGATAGTTGGTGTTTGGATAAGGTGGTACTTAATATTTCAATTGACAATGTGAGTCATTGGCTATGACCTTGATTGACATCTAAAGCTGCGTACGGACAACGCGTACATGGGTACGTTACACCACAGATTACTACTACAAGTATAAAATTATGGTGTTCCAAGACACGCGTAACCGACTACGTGTACCACAGAACAGTGTTACCATGAACGTGCTGTCCGTATGCAGCTAAGATTTTGATTTTGACATGGCCTAACCCAAATCTGGTAAACCACTGAAGCTGCCATACGGTCTGCCTGTTCAATGCAGTTCCTTGGTTTTTTATTATTTATTTTTATATGGGTAAAGGGTGGTAGTACACTTTATAAGAGTAGGCACAGCAGCTGCTTGTGATACCAGCCTCTCTAGCATGAACACCTCTATATGGCATATCACCCCTTCTTATCACACAATTTGATAAATTTCTATGGAGTTTAAAAAATAAAAAGCGTGATTGATATATAAGTTTCATTTCCCCTAACTGTAGGTAATTCAAAATTTGGTTATTTTATAAATCGGATAAAATAAACCCTTATGCAGTGTGCGAGGAGCCCGAGGGTGCAATGGCTATAGCGTTCCATCTGCTATCGCGGAAGCTAAGCAACTTTTGCAGGTCGGTCATAGGACAGGTGACCGCAGATGTACTTACGTTTCCCCCTACTTCGGGTCGATAAGCAGCTGGTTCTGTCTGTATCTCAGTGTAGTCGTTCTGCCTCTTCTACACGTCGACAGATGCATAGCAGATAGATCACCATGAGCCGACAACACGTCTGACGACGCCTGTACCTCATTTAGTCTGTGTTCACTCTCGACAGACGCAACCGCAACCGCAACCCGTACGCACATAACATTAAAAAAAAATGTTGAGATCGTAGCTGCCGCAGCCATTTATTTATTTAGTACTTTTAACTACTTACTACTGGAGTTGCATAGCAGTAAAATCAATTTTATTAAAAAGAACTGGAAAAAGAAGAAGAATGTGGTGGCAGCAGGCTATTTTTCAGATTCCACAGGTAGTTTTCTGCTTGACTACAACTCAAGAAATTTAAATTTTTGGTAAGTGCTCATAATATTAGCCATTCGGCGAACGAGAGTAACAAACAAGTATTCGCAATTCCAGTACTAATGCGTCGTGAGACGTGTTGACAAACACGCCGGACGTTTGCGCTAAAGCCCATCGTTGCGTGCCACAAAAATCGACAGCTAACCCACGCAAACTACCTCGTCTACATATCGGTGGACGCATCCGATGATGGCATCAGCAGATGCATAATGTCAACGTATATCACCAATCAGCAGTGCTATTCTGTAAAGACACACAATTTTCACGCGCGGATCCGCTATCAGTGCCGTCTTTGACCTATTGGAGGCCCTGGGCACATTAGGATAATGGGGCCCCTATGACTTCCGTTTGGTGATTTAACAGGAGCTAGGGACTTTGTATTTGATCTGAGGGGGCCCCCTATCGATCGTGGGGCTCTGGGCACTTGCCCAAAGTGCCCACTGGGAAAGACGGGTCTGTCCGCTATGGATCCGTGCGTGAACGAGAATAGCGCTACTGCAGTGCTATTCTGTAAATTTGTCAGGCGCGGATCCGAAGCGGAACCGATATGGATCCGCGCGTAAAAATTTTGTGTCTACAGTGGTAGGCCATATAGTCCATTCTACCCCTTTATAGGAAACTGTCCCCAGCAATAGGCATATTATTATTATCCTCAGACCCCATTTGTTTGTGAAACTTTAATGAAGGAGGGCTTAAGTTTGTAAATGAACCTTGTTCGGCTATGCTACCCACGCCCGACTCCTTTACAACGGCCGGCGCGGTATACAGTGATACTATGATTTACATAAAGTTCGCCGCTGTAATAGCGTCTCAATCTCAACAACAAACGATCGTTCTTTAGTCCCATCTCATGTTTATTGTGTATTTGAGAAAACTTGGGATCTTTTTATTATTTTTTAGATTACGTACACACACCGTATTATTATTGGGTATGTGTAAGAGAATGAATCGCGACAAACATAATATCGTCAAGATTTTTGTCACTTTAGGACAATCAAATAATGTTATTATATTCTATGATAAATTATGCATGCCTGTTCGTTTAAACGTAGGTATATTACTTTTTATTTACTGTGAATTAAACAGTTACAAACTTTAGATTTACAAATAAATACTTTTCGAAATTCGATCGAATGTTTTAGTAGTGAATGTTAAATTTCATTTAGTATAAGTAGATATGCTACTGAAATCACAGAATACGATAAGATAGAAATAAGGTTACTCAACTGAGCCATTTTTCATACCGTAGCATACTCCCGGGTTAATTGAAATGCTCTTGGTGTAGGTAGGTATTTAGTCCACAAAAAATAGGAACTCAGTAAGTTGCCAGTCCGTTGATTAATTTTTACTATCTGCACGGGAAACTAGGCAGGTAGTTCTATGTTTTTTTTCTTCCTCCAGACCAGACCTTCACCTTACTTAGATAGAAGCGAAATAAAAAATTTTCTGTAATAATTTGTCAGATCTTCATGAGGTTGCGGCCAGTAAGGTGAGCGTGACAGGAGCAGCACATTTTTCTTAACATCATCTATATTCGCAACTGGATTCCTCTCCGACTTTAGACTAGGTTTTATGAAAAACTAGCTTTGCCCCGCGGTGTAACCCGTGGTTTATTATGGATATTTTCCCGCAGTAAAACTTAGCCTATGTGTTAATCCAGGGTGTCAGCTAACTTCATACCAAATTTTATTAAAATCACTCCAGCCGTTTAGACTTGAAGAAGTAACAAGCATACACATTCACACACTCACAAACTTACGCCTTTATAATATTAGTGAGATAACAGAGGCAGGGAACAGCGAATTTTCGCTCGAATTGGAGCGCCCGTCGGGGGAAGCAACCTCGACCTTCCAGAAGACGATAGTAAAATAACACTATCTTTAGGTGGTGTTGTGTTTCGGCTGATGGGTAGGGTTCTAGGGCTCTGCGGAGTAGGGGATTGGATTCTGGCCAGCTAGGTGAGGATGGTTACCCTACCCCGTGGAGCCTTGGTCCCAGAGTAAACAGAAACCTGTTTCTGTTCTGTGCCTGGAACCATAGATAAATGATTGGTCTTGCTTCCCTCGACGAAGTGAAGTGAAGTCTCGAGTGAAGCGAGACCAATCATTCATCTATGCCTGGAACCTTACTTATCGACAGAAACTCAACGTCACTAAAAGGTTGTGTTATTACACTGTACATGGTCTTCTGTACGGAGGAGATTAATTCCCCTAACGGGCCTTCCAATTTGAGTAGGAAATCCGCTTTACCGGCCTTTGTACCTTAATATAAATAAGTGAAAATTACGAAATAACGAACCGAAAAACTTGAAATGATCACAACGTTTGTACCAAATTACTACAATATATTTTCTTAGGGCTAAAGTTAAGTAGTTTACAGTGCTTTAATTAAGTGTAACGGCGAATTATGTAGTTACTACATACTAAGAAGTACTTATAACTAAGTAGTTACTTATTCAGATTTGTTAGGGGACGTCCATAAATTACGTAAGGTGTTTTTTTGAATTTTCTCTCTTTTAATTGTCCCTCCCTCCCCCCCTGGTGAGATATCGTGAGATTTTATTGAACTCCCTCCCCCATCCCCCAATCTCACGTGAGATTTTACAAAATGTGGGTTTCTTACGTGAACGCGTCGGTTTGTTATTGTAAAAGGAAAAAAAAATTGCTTCGTGCTTTTATTTACGACTAGTTAAGACTAGTAATCAATATTGCTGAGGGTTAACGATTACGCTTAAGATTAAATCATAAGCATGTACAATCTGGATTAAATGGACAAAAATTATAGGTTTTTTTTTGTTTCAATCAGAAAAAAAATGCGTGATATTTGCCGAGACCCCCCTCTCTCCAACGTAAGATTAGATGAGATTTGACTCGACCTCCTACCCCCAAATCTCACGTAATTTATGGACTTAGGAAATATGAAGACATTAATAAAGTATGAAAATTAAAAAAAACATGAAATATTACAAAATTGAGCGTATTCACTATACAGATACACATGTTATTTAACAGACTTTAAAGTTTAAACTTTAAACACGAACTGTGAATGTAAGTTTAAATTGTAACAATTACAGTTCGTCCTTTAAGTACGGTTGGTAGTTTTCGTTTTCAATGAACCCTAAACTGTCCCAGAATGATTTGTGTCCGAAGTCGCTGCTGGTCTTCATGTCAGCTCTGGACGGCGACGATATCTCCAAGTAGTTCAGCTCAGGGGAGCCTGCGGTCACCTGCGACCACGCAGCGTTGCCAAACTTGGGCACTCTGGCAATGAATTAATTACATATTGGTGTCGATTCTGGAATGATTCTCTAAACCTAACCTTAAATTTGGCAACAGTGCATCCTTGTCATTCTCTATACAGAATGAAAGGGAGAGGGTGATGTTAAATATAGTTTTAAGTTTAGAGAATCATGTCGGAATCGATACCATTAGCATATTTTGTTGTTTAAAACCCACTTGTATTAGCTTTCTTAAATGAAATTTTAATCCCATCATTCTACTTCACATCACTCGTAAGAGTATTTCTGATCGCATTAGAAATAGCTTTATACGTGCTTCTAAATGTTGGTGCATGAGGCCCTAATTTGTTATAGTTATTTTTTTATGTAAAAATTAAAAGGGGTGACAAACTAACAAACACATGGTCTGCCCTATCATAATCGGCCACCATAGCTTAAAGACGCTTACAATAAAATAATATCACTCGTGCCTAGTGTTACCAACTTTTTTTCTATCAAATATAGTATTATCGAAACTTTTATCTCTAAAAATATAGTAGACGGCAAAAAATAAAAAGTACAGTAAGTAGTTAAAATATTTACTTTATTTTTGAAATGAACATATTTTCTCTGCTATATGTTTTAATAATTATTTTTTTATTTTTAAGAAAGTTTTTACTGGCAAATGTCTGCTTTAAACAAAACATAGTAGTTCCGCCTACTATATTTTTTTGAAATATAGTATTTGATCCCCTAATATAGTAGGATACTATATTATTTAGTAGGGTTGGCAACCGCAGTCCCAGCCCTAGTCGTGCCGTTACATAGGTACCCTGACCTAATCCGCTACCCGAGGAGCACGGCATTGGGAATTTCTATATCAAATAACGAGAAAAATATTATTTGTGTCAATAGACTTCATTGGCTTAATGAGGATATTGTGATCTGTTGTGACTAAAGGTAATTGTTGAATTTTTATCAAGTAAAAACTATAGACAGCTAATTTGAATATGCTGCAACTGAGCAAGTAGGTTGATGTCATGATTTTATTTTCGTAGTAACTATTATGATGTAAGCTGTGATTTTATTGTAGGTTGTATCATTTTTTTTATTAAATAAGGTTTAACTGACGTAGGAACGCGAGGAGTCCTTATATTAAAAGTATCGATAAAATGAAGCAGTATCCTGGGACAAAATTAGGTTTGAGCTGTTCGTCAGCTGCCATCAATAAATTTGGATAATATTTAAGTTGTCTGATCGATCACTCACGTATTTACGCAGATTTCGACTCTATAAACATTGATTTTAGAGACGATAACTGCTAGTCGATTTAAAATGAATAATTCAGATAAAGACTGGCTAGCTGGATGCCTTATTTGCATAGACGACAAATATTAGATACCTACATATACACCTACTTGTGAATGCATCTTGTTAGCATTTATATAAGTGTACGTTGAGAAGGGTACCTACTTACTTTTATTGCTTGTTGCATTGAATAAGGATTTCGTTTTACGAGAATAAATAAATACTTAATAGAAAACATTACATACCTAGCAAGATTGTTTTGGTTTGGGAATTGAATGAAACTGGAAATCAGTCACAAGTCTGGTGCGATTATTTTACAAAAAGCGTTTTGTTGTCAAAATATAAACTACCTACCTATAAACTATACCTTTCTTTGTTTTCGATGACGAGGTAAAAAAAACTTTATATCCACGACAATGACCAACGCCGCGTTGGTTTTCTGTCAACAAACCCTTACGACGCAGGTAATTGCGTGGTGCATTCGGCAAGTGGCGAGCAGCCCGAGCGCCGCTCGGTGTGAGTTTACTTTGACGTGCACTCACGTAAGCGTGACATACGTCAAACCACCCCCGCCTTCGACCGCGGCCTGGCCCGCACCGTCTTTAGCCGATCCTGGGCTTCTCCATTCACAGCGTCACCTGACTAGTCTCACGGACCGCAGTCCGACCGGCTCGCCAGCCGACCAGCTCCCGTGCTTACCAGGTAAACCAACTCCCCGATCTACCCCTCACCCTTCAGGCGTAAATGCGGGATACCTATAAACTATACCTACCCAACCAGTGCCATCTTTGACCTATTGGAGGTTCTGGGCATATTAGGATAATGGGGCCCCTATGACTCCCGTTTGGTGATTTAACAGGAACTAGGAACTTTGTATCGATTGCGGGGCCCTGGGCACTTGCCCTAAGTGCCCACTGGGAAAGAGGGGTCTGTACCCAACGGTCTTCAAAAAGAAGTTCAGTCTAGTTAATTGGTATAAGACACCTAAATCACTATATGGTTCTTACCCAGTGGTAGCGTAGCTGTAAATCATGTCTATTAGTTGGTCAACCATGTTTTTGTCTTCCGGTGTGTTGAAATCCAGGCCAGGGTATTTGAGCACTTGCAATACGTCATCAGCGTGGCTAACACCTATATAAAAACGATGATTTTTATTAATATCTCAAACAAAAAGCAAACGTGAGTGTCGTGGAACACTCATTGGATCGAAGTTAAAAATAATAGATAATAATAATACAATATTTCCAACACTAACACCAATTAGCCTAGCCCCAAAGTAAGCACTGTAAGGCTTTTTTTTTTTTTTTTTTTTTTTATATTACTAGGTAGGCAAATGACTCTACCCCACCTGATGTTAAGTGGTGATAAAGTCCAAACGCGAAGATAGCTGGTACAGCAGTTATTAACTGCTACACCAACCATCCTCACCTTGCCGGCCCGCAAAAATGCTTCTTCACGCCTCTCTTAAAGGACCCCAGATTATAGGAAGGAGGGAACACGTGCGCGGGTAAAGAATTCCACTTACGAATAGTACGACAAAGAAATGAGTCGCCAAATTTCTTGTGGCTTGTGTTATGGGATACTTGGTTAACGGATAAAATACATAATACTGTACATATATTTATATAAAAATACATATTAAAGATCCATGACAGGAATTCATCACACAAACATCTGGCCTCGCCGGGGTTCCAAGTCGGCGACACCATGAAACCCGGCGTACAAACCACTCGGCAACGGAGGTCGTCTAAGTCTAAAAAAAACATAATGAGTACATACTGAGGTACCTGATACAAATAAGGCCTAAGCTGAAATAAAGTCTGTAATGCAGAAAAGTCTATTAAAATATATTTAGCACAAAAATACTTTACACAAGCATAGACGACAGTTCTACAAATCGGCAAACTGTGCATGAACGGTCCGCTCGAGCTCATAGCGTTAGTAGTGGCGTTACTTTGTGAAGGACGAGCGTTTTTATAACGAGTTATTAATTTGTCGTAATTTTTATCGAATTTTAATACGTTATTCTTTGAAGTTTTGTTTCATGTAATGTATACGGATCACAATATAACTAATCAAATAGTTAACTATGACTTAAAATTGAAACTTTAAGAATATGCGAATTAAATACTGCTTATAACTTTAATGAAGTCTTATGTACTAATGACACCAGTTCTGACACCCTAAATAGGATTTCTGTTGAATTTGATCTAGACGCATTTTTATTTTCTAATTGTCATTAAAACTGATTTATAGTCCTTTACTATATAGTAATTATTATCAGTAAGACTGATTAATGTTTCTAAGCAAATTTTGCTATTATTACGTTCGAAGGTCTTGTTTAGTTACCTTGTTCAATTGAGGCCTATCAAAATATATTCATTAATTAATATTTTTTAGAAGATGTATGGATTGTTGCAATTTTTTATTTGTATGGATATTTTTCTTATTATTCTTTATTTCTTGTTAATATACGACTTCAAATTTGACTAGCAATTTAAGCAAAATATTAAGTAAAATAATTTAATGTTGTTCGAGGATCCCATGGAAACACTTGTATCAGAAATAAACACATATTTTACTATAATTTATACTATAATAGCAATATTTCTATAATTTTAGTAGGTACTTAAGCTTTGTTAAGTGTTTTAAAAAGGCCTAAGGCTAAGGTTCCGGATTTAGCCCTTTTAAAGTGATTTCTGATATTAAATTGTAATATAATTTTCTTAATTACTCAAAATTTATGAACCAAAGAATAATGCTTTGCTTTTATTTATCACCTTCTTCGAATAATTTATCATGATATTATGAGTTGAAATTGGGTAGGCCTTATTTGTATCACTTACCTTACATACAATATTCTAAGAAACAACTGACGGTAGTGACGGAAAAATCTTAAACTTTTTTTCGCCTAACTCTCTATCCACTGTACGGTCCCAAAAGGAACTTCGTTCCAAAAGAAAAACACAAAACATGAAAGTTACCAACTATTACAGTAGGAAATGGGATGGTAAGCCTATTAATGTTGTTTTTATAACAACTTGGAACCTCAATAATACTAAATATGGCACCACTGTCCTTTGTCTACGGGATTAATTGGTCCACTTTTACCTTAAGTACATAGACGCTTTGTCAACCTTCCGCGGGATTTGTGATGTGGATTTGAGAACCTACATAATGATTGTTGCCTTTTGTTATAATGTGTAGCCACACTGTAATAAAAATTGTGGAAGACTACTTCTATGACCTATCTAATTTGGCGCCCAACGTGGGGTAGGGCAAGTGATGCTTTGTCCGTAAGAAGGTCTATTCGCAACATATTCGTGATTGTATTTTAAAACACTATGAATGATATCTACAGGGCGTCCCACGGGTTTGTCACTCGAAGGGAAAGTATACATATATCTACACACAACAAAGAAAAGCTGCAACTCTTGTAAATTTTCGGATGTACACACTGGCTTAGTAAAGTAGGTAAAAAAACCTCTGGGAATCCTTTTACCATAGTTTCCGTTGTTTTCTGCCAACAAGTTGGAGAGACTCGCGGAGCCCCTGTGCGCGAATCGGTACACATAGACCGGCTGTCCCGACCGCAGCGCGTGGATTTGGGCCAGCTTGCCTACATCCACGTTGAAGAGACGATCGCCAAGTGCCTGTGGGACATGAAACCAGGGGCCTATTACATAAAAGAGTGGTTATTACACCTGTATTTACTACAATATTTTACGGTAGTTTATTGTGTTTCATAAAGTTTGTTTTACTACTCTATATTTGGGAAAAATTATAAGATATTGTGTTTTACTTCTGTTTCTTTCTGTTTACCAGAGTAGAATTAGCTGTTACAGAAAAAATTACGACGGTATTTTATTGCGGAAGTTACTGTATTAACATTGCAGATGTTGTCATTTCTATACATTATTTCTGATCATAGAACATTTTTGATTTGATGGAGTGGAGACCTCAGAATTGAAAACGCAAAAAGAACGAAGAATTGAAGAAAGTGTTAATGTTTTCACGAATGGAAACATGTTATTTGTTAAATTTGAATTTTTTATAGATAGGAATCTATTATGCTGCAAGTAGTCAAAAGCACAATGTCTAACCATATGTCTAAGTTGAAGATTTTTAGATTTTACTGGTGTCCAAGTCTGGGTATTATTATTTACTAAAGTATTTGTTTTGTGGACTCAAAGCATTAGTACTGTAGTAATAATAGCATACTTACTATGGTAGCAAAATTTACTACCTGCAATTATATAAAACGGTAAATTATGCAAATACTGTAGTAGATTATCACGATAGTATTTTTGTAAACAGATTTCATTGTAATTACTTTAGTAAAGTAAGAAAATTACCACGGTATTACTTTTATGAAATAGAGCCCTGGGAGATGATTGCTTAACTTTGACACCTATGACGACATCTTTAAACCACACTATTTGGGGTAAAGTTCTGGTTCAGTTACTGTAGTAAAGTCCCAAAATAACTGTACCCCTAGCACGAACCATTATCGAATTCGAATAGTTTGCGAGTCCAAAATGTCATTGTCAAATTTTGTATGGAAACTTGAACAGCAGCGCCATAACGGGCGTAACGAGAACTAAAAATCAGTACACATTTGACAATGACATTTCGTAATCGTAAAAGGTTACGAATTCGATATTGGTTCATGCTAAGGGTACTGAAATGTGAGTGTGCTGCATTATTGTAGTTGAAGTTCGCGAATATTCCTTAAATGTCAAATTAAAAGGTACGTACAGTGACAGGTGTTCAAGTTAGTTAGCATAGTTCTGTTTCTTATGCCCGCTTTCCACTGCATACAGAGCGAGCTCTTTTATAACAGGCTAATTTTTCTGGAAACTGAGACGTAAAAATAAGGGGGTTTCTACTAAACACGGAGCAAGATGTAGGGATTTTATAGAAAGACAAAAAGTATTATAATATTCCGAACAATTCACATTTTTCGCCCTATTTTTTTCATTCTCAACGGCAGCGAGCATTTACATTATGATTCCATTCGGAACATACCGCTATTTTTAGCAGATAGAAGTCACGGGCAGCTGGTAACCATCCATAACTTATTGGGCGACATAGAAGTTAGTACGAAACTCTCAGTGACCTCTTACATTGACCTCTTCAGCAAGCAATCAAAAGCAAGGTATTGAATAAAATCAAAATATACTTTAAGCTATTGGATGAAATGAAATAAACCATTGTACTTTTTCCTTTTTTTCCTCTGGCATAATGTTCTTGTTTTGCCCAAAAAAAGTCATATGACAAGTGGACGGCCAATGATAAATGACGCAGATAACTTCAGCTACTCTCTGTGATTTATAGGTAAAATATCGTGGTTGCAATACAGACCTGTACAAGCTTCGGGAAGGTCTCCATGCTGACAGGATTTCCTCCGAGGTACGTCTGCTTAATCTTGGCGGCCACTGCGGCGTGCTGGCTGGCGGGCAGCGTGTCGTTGAATTCGAAGATGTTGCTCGCCAGCTGCGCCCAGCGAGACTCCAACTCGACCAAGTACGATGGGTCCGTGAGGTATGCTGTAACAGATGTTATCTTCATCAGACTTATGTTTTTATTTTGTGTTTTTTTAAAAGTTTACTAGAAATAAAATCCACGCGGACCAGGCAGCACACGGGACTTGAACCCGCACCCTTCGCTATCCTGGCGAATGCACTGACCATTATGCTGCCGCGGCTCTGACGGCCGTGTCGAATTTTTCTCTAGCCTTAGGCTGGAAGGCAGCGCCATCTCTTCACATTGTAGGTAACCCACAATGTCAAGTGAATACCTTTACAAGTATTAAACATCATCAAACTTATTATGGTGGTTAGGGCCTGTCCACATCTCCTCGTCACGTTATTCAACGCACCGTGCCGCGATACCGCACCGGTCCTCATTAACGACGCGGCGACGTCGTGACGTGCACATGTGGACTGGCACTTAGATCGTCCCACAGAGCACCGCTCGTGCCAAGCTTATGCAGTAATACTACGTAAGCGTGAGACACGCCCCCAAACGTTGCGATACAAGTTTGCATATAATTTTGCATCCGACTGTGACGTCAAACCCTCCAATCAAAACGCGGCTTACCCTCCCCGCACGCCGCCATCTTTGGCTACTTCGATTTCAAACAAAATTGAGTAATGTGGACTCGCGGATGGTGGTGGTGCTCTGTGGGTCGTCCCTATTAATAATAACAAATGGAAGTCAACCACAATCAATAACGTAGTTCAACAGAGTTTCACTAAGGCCGCGTTGTGCTATAAATTTTTGAAGGGAAAACTTCTTTAGCTGTGTTGTACACTGTTTTTTGTTTGGGTAAAACATGTTAAACTCCCGTCAAGTTAAACACGTGGGCTGATCGCATCATGACATACAATAAAATTGGAAAGGTTGTTTACTTTCAATATACTGGACGAAACATAGTAATATTTTATTTTATCGTATTATAATAATAAGTTTCTATCTAGGACGTCCACGTGGCACCTCTATTGCGAAGAAAATGCATTTTTTTTACAATAGATGTCGCCAGGTGCGCTTAAATGTGATTCATGTAAGTTTATTTCTTTACAACAGATGTCGCTAAGTGCGCTTAAACGTGATTCATGTCAGTTGATTTTCTGAGAGATAAACTTTTTTAATGTAATATAAATTGTCATGTTTGTGTACGATAGCGCAATAAATAAATATTGTATTCTACCACATACATGATAGTACTTTTATACTGATAATTAAAGCAATTCGTGCAAAATTATTCCCTAAACATTCCAAAATATCAGAAATGCACAACGTTCAAGTTTTCACTTCTGCCGGCACTTCCGTAGTGTAACCCGTCGTTTTTCTTTAACTATGTTTCAAACAACGCGGATATTAAGTTCCTTAGCTAAATGGATAAAATCACAAAAAAGCACAGCGCATCGCACGAGATTAGATCGTTTGGTGTGGACCTGCCTTTTGACTAAGAAATTAAAACAATTCTGGAACTTACGGCTCCCTAAAAGTGAGTTAGTGGTATCCAGAAAACTTGGGGAAAAGTTTTATTACTTTCAGTTTAGAGGGGTTTTATTAATGTGAATGATAAATGAATACAATTTTAAAGACGGTGTCATTATCAGCCCATTAATGTCCAAACTGCTGGGGCATATGCCTTCCCTATGGATGGAATAAGGAAATTGGGCCGTGACCCACGGCGGACCCCAGTACGGATTGGTGCGTGCTAACAACTGCAGATGCAGCCGGGACCAATGGCTTGACGTGCCTTCCGAAGCACGGTAAGCAGACGGTAAGTCAATTTTTAGTAATTATAAGTAACCTAATATTTTTTACAATGTAATTTTAAGAAGTGCTTTTATCAAATACGCGACGTAAAATATTCCGCTTTCAGGAGTTATTGGATTAAGTTAGTAAACATTAAGTTGGATTAAGTTAGCATTAGCGACGACAGAAGAATATGTCATAATGATGTTTTCTTGGGAAAAGTACCTACTTACTTAGAAACGAATTTTTGTAAGACTTCCCTTCAGAGTTATTTGAGTCAGTTGATTATGGACAAGAAAACAGGTATGGTATTTATATAACCCAGTATTTATATAAAAATAACTTTACTAATAAATAAAAAAGTGAATGTTAACCTATAGATAACTCTTTGAAGCTACTAAAATTTGAATGGGCATAGATAATATTTATACCTATAAATAAAATGTACTTCAATATAATTAAATAAATGTAATTTATTTCAATTTAATTTAATCAATGTTATGTTTTCATATGTTTAGTACATTTGTGTAAATTCAATTTAGTTTTAATTTTTACTATGTTTTTATTAATTAAGATGAATCAATGTAATTTTAGAAAATCCTGTCCGCTCATATGTTGCATGTTGTGGTCGCCTTAAATAGAATGTACACTGTTTTTTGTTTTGTAAAATTGTATTTGATGTTAACTATTCTTTGTATCATTCACTGGTGATCCTTAATAGATAAATACGATTATTCTGACTAGATGAAGTTCCAGACCGTAATCGTTCATTCTGTTTTGTTTATCTAAAGAAATTCCTTCAGAATAAAAATATATTATGTATCAAAGTAATAATGGAATGTACTATAGTCTTTTAAAAAACAATTTTAATTCTTCATATAATCATATTTTCGTACCACAGAAAACAACACGTAAAATTATAAACAAGCATATTTTTAACATGAGAAACTCCGTCAGTATTTTTAAATTATAAATTAAGTTATTCTTTTACCCAAGTCTTTTACTAAAGTGGGAAACAGTGATAAATCTACATGCATTATTCTCGTTTCCTTATTATCCCTTGTCCGATTCCCCAATGAAAATAAAGAAAACCTATTTCACGGAGCCACGGGGCGGCGGCGACGCTCTTTTTTTACTTTTAATTAAATATTATTGGGCAACATCATCACGCATATTATTCTCAAGACTACCAAGCGGTCACTGAAATAAAGAACGAGTGTGCTTATGACCACACGACTGAAGTGAACCTTCTTTAGCTTCATCTGTATGTGTGTATACAATATATACATGTATGTTCATATACATATTTCATTTACTACCTATTAGAGAAAGAGAGAAAGAAAATGTGCGCGCGCACTGCTTTCTCTTGCTTATATCCCCCACTCAACTCCCGTTCGCCTCGCCCGATCACACTTTTCGTAACGCGTTCGTCAGCTTATTCTTCAAGTAAAGCGTGCGTAAAGAAGTTTCACTTCGAAAATCCCTTTATGTGAGCTGTCGTGAGACGCCTGCCAGATGAAAAATTTCCTTAAAAAGACAAAGTAATCATCCTTTATCTCAATAAAAAAAAATATATGACAGATTGTGTGCTGGCACTTTAGATAGCTATTCGTATTTGGTATTTGTTAACTTGACAACAGTATCTCCTTTTCATTCCCTATCTATAGAATATGATAACAACCAGTTGTCAATATGACAAATCATCATCAACCTATTAATGTCCCCACTGCTGGGGCACAGGCCTTCCCTATGGATGGAATATCGAGATTGGGCCATGACCCACCACGCGGGCCCAGTGCGGATTGGTGGGTGCTACTGACTGCAGATGCAGCCAGGACCAACGGCTTAACGTGCCTTCCGAAGCACGGAGGAGCTCGAGATAGTAATTTTTGGTTACCCATCCAATGATCGACCACTGCTAAAGTTGCTTAAGTTCAACGATCGCAGCCGAATGCGCTTAGCACTTGCGCCATCGAGCTCCTCAATATGACAAATAGTTATAATATATAATACGCATAGCCATGTGAAGTGGCAGCATAAGGAACGGCTGCTACACTCTAGACAGTTCTAAATGAGTTCTTACCAGCGGCGGGGTACAGTCCCTCTTCAGCGGTGACGGAGGTGATAAGTGGTACCCGCTGCATGGTGCCGCCCATCGCCGCGTGGAACGGGTATTGGCTGAGGAATGGCTCCCTCACTCCAGCCGGTTCTGCAGTCGGCGTGAACGGTGTGAACATGTGCACCTTCCAATCCTGCAAACATTAAAATTTTAAATTAAATATCGTTGATTCCGTGTAGGCTGTTGCCACGCTGTTGCAAGCACTCATAATTAAGGTGAACGCAGACTTGGTCGCACCGCACGCGCCGCAGTCTTCGCATTCGAATTCTTTACATGAAGTTATATGCAACCTCGCACATCTACCCGCGTCGCAGTCGCCGCAGTCCCTGAAACGACCGAACTCCCCAAGCCGCAGCTTATGACGTCACCAACGCCGGCTCGCACGCAGCGGACGCTGCGGGTAGCGCGGGCGGATGACGTCATTCGCATCAACTGAATGAATGAAATCAAGTGCGATGCGTGCGGCGACGGGAACGACTGCAGTGACTGCGGTGCGGATTGATGTGCGAGGGCATTAACACAAAGCGATGACTGCGGGTACTGCGGAGACTGCGGTGCGACCAAGTCTGCGTTCACCTTAAGTATATGACAAGCCAAGCTATAGGTTTGCAAATCTACAGCGGGCGACCTTGTACTGAAAAAAACCAGCAGATATATCCTACTTAACGAGTTCTAGACAATGATTTGTCACATGCTGGGGGAAAAAGAAAAAATGTCTTCTTCTTTTCATATATGAGACACCCCATGAACAACAATTTTATTGATTTTTAACTGAATATTCGGCTTTGGGCAAGCTTTCTACATAAAAAAATATACGCGTCGAATTGATAACCTCCTCCATTTATTTCTTTGGTTGAAAATACTAATATTTCAGTTCTGTAACTCTATCCGTTTACGATCTAGAGAGCCGTGATATAGGGACAGTGCCGTTCCGTGTTTATCATTTGAGTACGGAACGGATATAGGGAATAGGTTTTAATTTGGTAAGTAGTGCCCTTAGAGCACTAAGGTAGTGCCACATTGCTTCATGTGAGCTATGAGTTACAAATGAGGATGAAAAAGTAATTTTCACTATAATAAACAACACAATACAAACACGCACTCACACACTACCTTCTTTTGTTTTTTTTCTCCTATTTATGTCTTTGTATTTCAATTAAAAACTGATATGTATTTGAGTTCCTTATAGTGTCGCCACACACGCCACAGCCACAAACGCCGCCACGAGAAGCGGCTACTAAAGTGGCTGAAGCGCGCGACAGCGGCCGACTAAGTGTCGCCGCACACGGGCGACCGACCACAACCACAAAACGCCGCCACCGACATATTTCTTGTAGTTTTCATATATTTTATATGGAGTCGCCACACACGGTACGCCGGTGGCCGCCACATGCTACAAATCGTCGTTGCTCGCTTCTTGTGGCCCGCACCGGCCACTTAATGCGCCGATACAAAATGCCACCACACGTCACTCGCGCGATTCCCTACCCCTCTCTCCCTTACCTTAGTTGGCCGCTGTCGTGCGCTTTAGCCACTTTAATAGCCGCTTCTAGCTTCTCGTGGCGGCGTTTGTGGCTGTGGCGTGTGGCCCGTGTGCGGCGTCACTAAGGGAGAGAGGGGGTTTGTATCGGCGCCGGCGCATTAAGTGGCTGGTGCGGGTCACAAGAAGAGAGCAACGACGATTTGTAGGGTGTGGCGGCCACCGGCGTACCGTGTGTGGCGAGTCCATATAAAATTTATGAAAACTACAAGAAATGTGCCGGTGGCGGCGTTTTGTGGTTGTGGTCGGTGGCCCGTGTGCGGCGACACGTAGACGGTTCGGAAGTGGAGAGACTGGTAATCTGTAATGGGTCTCCTAGTACAGACGCCTGTCTCTCACATAACTAGATATATGTATTAAGGTTAAGTTAATGATGTATTGTTATGTAAGAGAAGAAATAAGGAAATTATTATTATTATTTTAGCCTCTGTGAAAAATAATTAATTTACATAATAGGTAAATTCGTGAACAGTAATGAAATTTTTTTAGTCATATTTTAAATTATGTGGTTCTTATAAAACATACCGTGTACACATACCCAATAAGGTTTCTTACGTTTATATTGACAATTAATTAGCGACATTGTCCCAAGAACCTGGCTTAGATTATTATGAGCTAACGTTAATTAATTTATATTGCGGGTCGTCTACTAACATGAATATGAAACTCTGCGAGCTCTAATTAAAGCCATGCGCGTAGTTGGGTCAATGACAAATTGATAATTACTTACATAATTATATTAAATTTTATTGGTTGTTTTAATTTTATAAAATACACAAAGATTGCCATATATATTCTTGGGCAAAACCCGAGACTAACTTATCTATTGCAAAATTCGATGGCTTGAGCTTCTTAAAATTAAACAATTTCATCATCATTATCATTAGCTTATTGATGACAGGCAAATCGCACAAAAGAAGAGTTCCAAATATACAATACACAGATCAGGTGGGAATCTTGGAAAAAAATCTCAATTTCTTTGGAACGTACTTCCTACATATAAAAATCTGTAAAATATACAAAACAACAACATTATTTGACTTCGTTCCAATTTCACCCAAATATTTCCTCTGCGAACAAAATCTTCGTATCCTTCGAAATAACAAGGGATCAGATTGTGTTTCAAACGTAATCTATTTACATTATTAGGTACCTAGGTACTTTCTAAAGTTCACGATATAGATTTTCCAACTAACAGAGGGAAAACAAAGCTCAAAGTTGATTAACATTGTTTACTGCATCAAACGGCACGTTCGCGGAATTCAACATATTTTCTTCATTCTTAAAGTAAACAAGTTTCCGGGTAGCTCCAAATCCCCGGACTGTGTAACCCCAATCTTACGGTTCAGGGAAGATCAAAGAACGGGGCTTCGTTATTATGTGGTTTATTTATGTTCCATTTTCAATGCAAAGTTACGGATTTACATCGAACGTCAAAGTAGTACCAAGGACGGATCCAGAGGGGGGGGGGGGGGGGGTCATGGCGGTCATGACCCACCCTGGGTTGGGTCCATCTGTACCCACTTCACAATCTGTACCCACTGTGACTTGACCACGACTATATGACCCCCCCCCCCCCCCCCTGGCGCCAAAGCTGGATCCGCCCTTGAGTAGTACCTACTGAAATTGATATGCCGTAAATAGTATTTACAGGAAAGTACTGCGTGAATGAGTACCTCAAAATTAAGGAGGAAATTCTGAAAACTTTGGTAAAAAGATATCACAATTCTGAAATTTATGGGTAAGACTTCAAATAATAATTAAATGTCAACTATGTGTTAAAGGCCAGCGGCAATATTTAGATTGTTCAGGAAATAACAAGCCAGTTTCCAGGGCACTGGGAATGAGACCTGGAACCTTTGTATAACTGTAACACGAGATTTAAGAATAAGCTTGCCGTTCCATGTTTCAGACTCCAAAAATCAAGAGGTTCATTTCTGGGTTGTAGTTTTGCATTGTTTAATAAAGTTCCCCGAGATTTGATTGAGCTTCCACTGACCAAATTTAAATCTCAGATCAAGAATGCTCTTATGAAGAAGGGCTATTATAAAGTTGATGAATATCTAAATGATCGTAATGCGTAAATAAATAAATAATAAATAAATATTTCCAACACTTACACCAATTAGCCTAGCCCCAAAGTAAGCACTATAAGGCTTGTGTTATGGGATACTAGGGTAACGGATAGAATATACATACTTTACATATATCAGTATATTTATATAGAAATACATATTTAAACATCCATGATTGGAGTACAAATGCTCGTGTTCATCACACAAATATCTGCCCACACCGGGATTCGAACCCGGGACCTCTCGAGTCGGCGACGCCATGTAACCCGGTGTACAAACACTCGGCCACGGAGGTCGTCAAATGGACATAGTGTTTCGTGTAATTTGTTATTTGTTGGGTATTAGTAATTTTTCATAACAGCAATATGGTACCTATCTAATGCCGCTTCCTGTACACTTAATATAGAGTTAACTATAAAATTTATTGTAACTAAATATCTATATGCTAAATGATGTAATGGAAGGTGACTTCAGAAGTATCTCTGAAGTCATTTTTCTACTTGACGACTCTGTATATAACAATACAGGGAGAAAAAAAAACAGCCCTTGCTGAGTTTCTTGCCGGTTCTTCCGAGTACAAGGTCTCCCGCCGTAGTTTTGCGAACCGATGGTGTTCATAAGTGCTTGTAACAGCCTAGACTGAATAAATGAGTTTGAGTTTGAAATTAATCATAATAATAATTCATCAAACCTTACAATTACTACAACCATAACATATCTTAAAATAAACTAGGATAGATTTGCTATCTTATAATCTTATAAGTAGGACCCCTGACTTTCATGCTAGGTAAGATCTGTATTATGAAAGGCATGGTGAATGATTACAAAACGTTATTGATCAATATGTGTGTGAGTGTGTATGTGTGTGTATATTGGAATGTTTGTAAGTAAATAAGCTCATTGAAGTTAGTAACTTCAAGTAATTCAGGAAAATCAAATATGGGCCGTTAAATGTGGGACTTACAAACATCTCGATCATCGCGTTGACGACGACCTCGGCAGGCCTGTATTTGAGGCAGTCCACCATCTCCCTGTTGGTGGTGGTGGGGCAGCCCACGATGGACGCCAATGTCCTGGCCTTCTGAGCCGGTTTTACGGCGTGCGTCCAAGACGCGAAGGCTGACCCGCTAAACGCCACTCCTCTAGCAAACAAGCCTGGAAATTACGTAAATCTTAGCTTGGTAACCATATGGCAATATGGAAAATTTTTATTCAATGTTATAATGTTTCTATCAATATTATATGTTTTTCCGAATTTAGTTCAGCAACATGCTATGAAATCATAGTTAGTTTCCATAACAGCTGTCAGTCGAGTTCTGAGGCTCCTTTAGGTTGAAGAGACGACCCTCAAGCTCGAGAGTCCTAGTGATTTAACGTCAGAGAGGAGACACCTCTCGAGTCTGCGTAAGATCTAAGGATCTCGTTGCCCCAGCCTGTACCCTTAGTACGAGTTTGAGCTCACGAAAATCATAGCTTCCTTAATTGTAAATTATGTTTCTATGTCCATTTTGGTGGAAAAGTAACCAAATATACTTAAAATTTAAGAAGACGCAAATAATTTAATGATAGAATTTAAACACGTTATTTGTATTGAAACGAAAACAATAAAATCAGTACCCTTAGTACGAGTGCGAGCTCACGAAAACTATCATAGTTTTCGTAATTGTAAAACTCGTACTAAGGGTACTGGTAACGCTGTTAAGGTTATCTGCGTCTGCGACCGACAGCATAATATACACTTAAAAGTAGTCTCCATATCTAAATTTAGAAATCCTTTTACTAAAATTCGTTTTAAAAATGATTCTTTGTACAGCCATCAACGAATTATATAAACCCATACCATTTAGATAGAGTCGCTTTAGTGTTAAATAAGTTTGGTCATCTATTATTTATAACGTTTTCGATGTGTTAGGCTATATGGGCTACTGTTGTGAAAAACCGATATCTGAAAATTACAATAATATGTAGTAGGAAGATTTGTTAAATCGAATTATCGCAAAAATGGACTATGGACTTTGTGAAAGCACGGCTAATTTGATAATGCCGTGACATCTTTTTTCAGTAAGATTCCATGATTAAATTATCCAACAACATATATGTACATTATTCTGAGAGACTGATAGATAGCAATAAAGGAATACGACATCTCGAAACTCAAAACACGGATCTCTTATTTTAATCGTAAATATTGATTGATTGACATGATAATATTGTGATAAAAAACAAACTAAAATACAGCGTAATGCATTTTCAAATGCAAAAAATTCAGCAGCATTTCGTCTGTTAATTTATGTTGTCAATATACTTGAGCCGTAGCTATGTTTCTTGTTTACAATATAACAATAACAGTCAATGTTTAATCTCAGTTAATAGTTGCCTTATGAAATGTTATCTTAAGTTGCTGCGTCTGTTGACCGTTAACTGTTTGAATGGAAAGGAACAATAGCTCAGCGTATACACAGTTTAATATTAGCTTTTATCTTTCCGTTCTTTGATACTTGGAAGTATATTGTCCTCAGAAGAGAACAAATGGTACTGTAGTGATATTTATTATCTTAATAAAATGTAGGTAGTTCTTATTTGCCTGTCTTGTGTGTATATTTTTGCTGGTGTTGAGAAATTATTTTCCTAACATTGTGTGCTCATCACAAAGCGGAAACTAAGTTTTAAGTAGCACTTCTGGGTGCTCCCGCTTATGGGCGCAGACCCCGTAATCTGCTCCATTCAAAGGAACAGTGTGACCAGATACAGAATTTTAATACTTTTTCGGTATATTTTAACAAATTATTTTTCAAAACAAGGAATATAAATAACTAATTTTCTGTACAAGTTGGTATATTTCCGTATTTTTTTGAGTAGCTTCGGGATTTTCGTAAAATTTGTTAAAATTCAAATGATTTATTGTGAAATGTAGGTTAGTACAGCATTTTGGTGTTAGGTAAAAAGTTTAGTGTCACTACATTTCGACCTTATTACAAGGTATACTATATTTTTAAGTAATAATCAGGTTTACAATTATATAAAAACAAAATTATTATATTACAATTACAATTATGAAATATTATAATGTTCTGGTCCCACTGCATAAAATTACTGTTATTGAGAATGATTTTATTTTTTTTCTGTACCTATAAGGTTCATTAGGATGACAGGTAGGCCTTAGCGGGTTTCCCGCTAGAATTGGAGCGCCCGTTTGGTGAAGTAACCTTCACCTTACCGAAAACGAATGAATAAAAAAATTGTGTGTGTCAGCTCCGACGCACGACTGGAGTTTACTCCTTAAATTCGATAGTCTAACCAGACGCAAAAAGAGTTTATTTAACTTAAAAAAGATTGATACTGTAAATGCCATATCCACGTTTACTTCTAAAGCTCAATGGTTTTGTGTTCAACGAATGGCGCGGTGGTACACCGACGCGGTTTCTTTGTCGTCGTAGGCAATAAAGGTACGCTACGATACTGTGCTACGGTGTAGCACTGCGGCTGCTACAGCGTAGACAGTAAAAACGTAACGAGGTCATTCATCGATAATTTTACTCCTCACATTTTTCTCATACCGGGTCCCTAATATATGCAAAACGATTCTTAAGGAGTAAACTCCAAAAAGGCACCTGGATTTACAAAACTACCGACGTTTTATTATGTTGGGTTAAGGTATGTAACCTTAAGAGCCCTTTTATAAAATTGCGCTGCTGCCGGTACTGATCGGTGCGTAGGTAGATTTGCACTAGTACATATTGCATTTAACGGGTGATGTTTCGAGTCTTATAAAATAATTACTATTGAACTAATTATAAAAATATATGCATATTTCAGTAGTTCAATTCTATTGAATTCAATATTAAAATACGAAGTAAACCTGCATTATTTTTTGGGAAAACTCACGGTGGTTAGATGTTTTTTTTGATAATTAATGAGATAGAAAAACAAAATTCTAATACATTATGTTACAACAAGAACATATTTCTGATGTCGTAGTAATTAATTTGATCTAATTTATTGAATATTATTGAGAGATTAAGGCGTTTGAAGTTGTGCATATTATCTTTTTTCCGTAAACTAGCTTACTGCAGCTGAACGATCAGTACAAAAAAAGGAAAATAGTATTTGCAAATATTCTACATTAACTTACAATAGGAAGAATAAATCTACTATTTGCTTCTATTGGAAATAGTCAAAATCTTTTCTAAGGGGGTAGACGAGGCGCTCAAAAATTACAATATTTTGCAAAAAATGTGAAAGGGCTCTTAAATATTTTTCAATGAAATAACGTAACATTTAATAACGATGCTAAGTAACACGGAAGTTGCAATATCTCATAGTATCGTTCGCCTTGTGAAGTCTAAGTAATAATAATAAATATTTCCAACACGCACCAATTAGCATTAAGCCCAAAGGAAGCACTGTAAGGCTTGTATAATGGGATACTTGGGTAACGGAAAGAATACATATACTGTACATTACATATATCAGTATATTTATATAGAAATACATATTAAACATCCATGACTGGAGTACAAATGCTCGTATTCATCACACAAACATCTGCCTCCACCGGGATTCCAACCGGGGATCTCTCGAGTCGGCGACACCATGAAACCCGACATATAAATCATTCGGCCACGGAGGTCGTAAAGTTATAAGTTTATCAAATAGAATTCGTCACACATCGCCATGTTGAATGTTGATTCTGGGCATCGTTGTCGATAATGGAAATTTGTTTGTCGCACGCAGCCACTAGCAAGGATCAACTTACTATATTTTTTCTTACAGATTGTAATAAACCTTTTTCTTTTATTATATCAAACAAACATTTTTATGTGCCTTGACCTTGTAATGGCAAACCTTCATAATATTTTTGTTTGTAAGAAGTTGATTCAGGCAATAAATGCGCCAAATATATTATGGTTTGACGTTCTTGGTAAAAATATTAACAAACAGGTAAATGGAGCATGACCTTCCTATCAGAAACATTTTTGCTTTAGGTATGTTTGTTTGTCCTTTTGTAATGCTAATCACGAATTTTACAAATGCCTTTGTTTGGATGAAGCTGCTAATAAAAGTCATACCGCCAAAGGTTTATAAACACATAATGGTCACACTCTGAGAAGTTAATTTGTTTTTCAGTTTTATTAAAGTTGATGCTTTCTCTCTATGCTCAACTTTGAAAATTTGTTTTTTAGTTTACGTCATTGTCACAATATTAAATTTCATTTGCGTCTCTAGGTCCGATCGTAAGTACTTAGAATTTTATTATCATGATTTTGATGTATGGGTTTGCAGATATCTGATATTAAATATCCTCTGCATGCCTCTTCGTCCAGCGGATTAGGCTGCTAGCGTCAAGTTGAGACAATATTCTTATATGAATAGCTCTCTCTTCTGTTCCTTACGCCGATATTAGGTTATTAATCTATCCATGTTCTGGTCACTTTTCCTTAGAGAGTGGTGAGAGGTAGTGGTAGTGCACGCTGTCTCCACCAGCGGAGCAGCAGGTCAAGTGACACTATAAGGGTTCCCGCCGAACATCATGAAGTTAGCCCGAAGTCAAGGCGACATATTTGTATGAAAAGCTCTCTATTTCTGCGGTTCCTTACGCCGATATTAGGTTATTAATCTATCCACGTTCTGGTCACTTACCCTTAGAGAGTGGTGAGAGGTAGTGGTAGTGGACGCTGGCGCCACCAGCGAAGCAGCCAGTCAACGTGACACTATAAGGGTTCCCGCCAAACATCATGACGATATCCCGATGTCTAGGTGGGATATTTAAGCTCTCTCTCTCTACTGTTCCTTACGCCGATATTAGGTTATTAATCTATCCATGTTCTGGTCGCTTTCCCTTAGACAGTGGTGAGAGGTAGTGGTAGTGGACGCTGGTGCTACCAGCGGTGCAGCTAGTCAACGTGATACTATAAGAGTTCCCGCCAAACATCATGACGATATCTCGATGTCTAGGTGGGATATTTAAGCTCTCTCTCTCTACTGTTCCTTACGCCGATATTAGGTTATTAATCTATCCATGTTCTGGTCGCTTTCCCTTAGACAGTGGTGAGAGGTAGTGGTAGTGGACGCTGGTGCTACCAGCGGAGCAGCTAGTCAACGTGATACTATAAGAGTTCCCGCCAAACATCATGACGATATCTCGATGTCTAGGTGAGATATTTAAGCTCTCTCTCTCTGCTGTTCCTTACGCCGATATTAGGTTATTAATCTATCCATGTTCTGGTCACTTACCCTTAGATGGTGGTAGTGGACGCTGGTGCCACCAGCGGAGCAGCCAGTTAACGTGATACTATAAGAGTTCTCGCCAAACATCATGACGATATCTCGATGTCTAGGTGAGATATTTAAGCTCTCTCTCTCTGCTGTTCCTTACGCCGATATTAGGTTATTAATCTATCCATGTTCTGGTCACTTACCCTTAGAAATGGGTGAGAAGTAATGGTAGTGGTCGCTGGCGCCACCAGCGGAGCAGCCGGCCAACGTGACACTATTAGGGTTCCCGCCGAACATCATGAAGATATCCCGAAGTCAAGGCGACATATTTGTATGAAAAGCTCCCTCTCTCTGCTGTTCCTTACGCCGATATAAGGTTATTAATCTATCCATGTTCTGGTCACTTACCCTTAGAGAGTGGTGAGAGGTAATGGTAGTGGACGCTGGCACCACCAGCGGAGCAGCCGGTCAACGTGACACTATTAGGGTTCCCGCCGAACATCATGACGTTGTCCCGCACCCAGCGCAGTGCGGCCGCTTGGTCCTTCAATCCGGCGTTACCGGGAGCCGCCTCGTCACCGGTGCTTAGGAAACCTGGGGAAATGTTATCGTCATTATAATTACCCAGTCTATTAATGTGCCCATTGCAGGAGCACAGACCTAGCCTTTGGATGAAATAGGGAGATTGGTTACAGATTGGTGAATGATAACGACTGCAAATGCAGCTGGGACCATAGGCTCGAGATAGTATTTTTTTTCTTACCTATCCTAAGGCCGCTTATTAACAAGACGATTTCTACCTGGTTCTAGGCCGTGTTTACGTCCGGTCGTCAGTTAAGTATGGGGCACTATGGAGATTTGTTAACGACACACCGGCGCTAGCCTAGGTTTGGGGCCGGTACAAACGTACAAAACGTGCTTGTGAACAAGCTGAACCGGCACTGGGTCGGGTAATAATCATGCTTAGACCCGGCGGAAAACCTGTCGTTATGAAGCGCTTGTTAACGTGACGATTTTGTACGTTTGTACAGCCAGTATCGGATACTGGCTTATCAATTCCTTTATAGGGTTCCCAGGAACCCTATTAACGACGGTTTGGGGTCGGTTCAGGGTCGGCCAGTCGTATCCAGATACTGGCTTATCAATTTCGGGAATCCACTCCAATCGACACACAATCAAATTTTCTGGATAAATAATATAAAATACGTCAGCTCTTTACTTAAAATCGATGAACGTGTCATTTCTGGTAAATTGTCACTATTATTACCGAATAGAAACTCAGGCACAACCAATGCCAAACGAATGTTGAAAATAGTTATGGAATTGAGTTCTTTACTGAGTTAATTTCGCAGGTTGAATCACATTTGAATCACTCACAATCACTAAGTTACATTTTTTTACTTACCCATAGGACCGAGCCTATAGTTGAAAGTGACTACCACCATGTCTCGGTCCATCAGGGGCGAAGGGTCGTATAAGCCTCCTGAACCGTACATAAAAGCGCCTCCATGGATGAAAACCAGAACAGGTAAGGAGCCCGCAGCATTCGGATTAGGCGTGTATACATTCACGAACAGACAGTTCTCGCTACCTGAAAAGATATATTTTTGTATGTATGACTACTTCTGTAATTTTTTACATCATAATATTTGCAATCCAGCATATTTGATCTCAAGATAAAAGCGGCTAGATCTAAGACCCTTATTACAATTAAATTACACAATAAATCAGCCTGCGATATCGAGACAGCGCAGCGCTCTCATTATTCTGAGAGACAGCGCTTTAAACTACACAATCTCTTATTAGGTACACTGCGAATCTGATTATCGCATGCAATATTCAGTATAGTTTAATATTTCCTAGACTTGCTTATTAATTTTCTGTTTTAATTTTGAAGGTGGCACTCTTAGCTTTGCATTTGGACTCCGGCATTACTGCAAGCTAGGGATATCACTTGCACGTTGCCGTAGGGATGAAACGATACGAGTAAATACGAGTAATTACTCGATACTCTTCTTTCGATACCAAGTACTTTTGGCATCGATACTTTAGAATTGAATAACAAGTAGTATCGTGAAGTAAGTACTTGTATCGGTACTCGATCGGTCACTCAAAGTCAGTTAAATTAAAACTGTGATAGAATTTGGAATTGTAAAATCGTTTGTCAACATTTATCGATAATTTTCATTCGATACCGAGTAGGCATCGATACTTTATGACAGATACAGTATCGAGTAAAAGTATCGATACCTAGATGGTATCGTTTCATCCCTACGTTACCGTTCCAGCAAAGTTCTATATGCAATTTTTTGAGAATCATGCAGTAAGTTCCGCGTTTCTAAGGGAAAACTTCAATAGGGAGTTAATTCCACATTAAATTCTACGCGGGAGCAAGTACCCATAAACATAGTGATTACTTTCTCTAATGCCTATAAAGACGCGCAGTACGTGACTTCATAAGGTTCGCACGCAAAGGTATTTTACAGGATCGATAATGTGCTAGTGATGATTTTGGTATTACAAGAATACTGTTAGTCCGAAGGCGCCACGGGTACAGATTAGACACGGGGTAGAAGATGGGGTTCATAGTAGATTTTTGAAGTGAAAACTTCTTGAGCGGCGTTGTACACTTTTTTTTGTATGTGGGCTGATCGCATCATGACACACAATGAAATTGGAAAGGTTGTTGACTTTCAATATATTGGACGAAACATAGTAATAGTTAGCGGTGGGTCGTTCTCAAATTTTCTGAGGACGAAACGCAACCGTTTTTTCTTAAACGAAAACTAGTCCTCGAAACGGTTCTCGTTCGCAACTCGTTTTGATTGCGGCCGGGTGACGCAACGAAACGACACGCGACGGACGAACGAATGTAACGCAACGAAACTGAACTAAATGAAATCTTGTTAACGTTCGTTTCGTTGCTGCGAACGAGACGACGAAACATCGAAATAAATGTTGTGTTATACGATAATCGACTTTAAATGTTCAATAATAAAGATTATATTATTGTAAAATCAAAGCTTAATTATCATAGAACGAAACGGCCTCATATCATTGCGTTCTATTATAGACTGTATTTGCTTCATATAAAGTACATATTGGCGTGCAGACAATCCGAGGACTAGTTGTTCGACTAAGACTGTTTTGATTTTGATTGTAAAACAGTTCTATCGTCGCGGAACACAAAACTGTCCTTGAAACCGGTTCGTCTTTAGAACGCTCACACCTAGTAATATTTTATTTTATCGTTTTATTATAATAAGTCTCTATCTAGGATGTCCACGTGGCAGTTTTATTGCGAAGAAAATGCATTTTTTTACAATAGATGTCGCTAGGTGCGCTTAAATGTGATTCATGTAAGTTGATTTCTTTACAATAGATGTCGCTAAGTGCGCTTAAACGTGATTCATGTAAGTTGATTTTTCTGAGACAAACTTTTTTAATGTAATCTAAATTGTCATGTTTGTGTACGATAGCGCAATAAATAAATATTGTATTCTACCACATACATGATAGTACTTTTATACTGATAATCAAAGCAATTCGTGCAAAATTATTCCCTAACCATTCCAAAATATCAAAAATGCACAACGTTAATATTCAAGTTTTCACTTCTGCCGGCACTCCCGGAGCGCAACCCGTCGTTTTTTTTTAATCGTATTGAAGCATCTGTTTATGGAAGTACTCAGTAGTTTCCACCTTATAAAAGATCACTGTAAAATACTCTGCCTCTTGATGATGTATCTTTCTTGGGGAGTAAGGTTTGGAGTCCCGTCTGCTGCCTGGTCCGCGTGGATTTCTTTCTAGTAATATTTTCTTTAGATTTAAAGATCGAGCAGTTACATGCTTAAAAAAAAAGGTTTTATGATCTAAGACTAGCTTGATAGTTTATTAGGATTCCGTGCCAAGAGTACGACGAGTAAAACATTTTTTGAAAAAAGTGTCGATACAAAAGTTGTAGATCTTTTTATTACCTACAAGTTTGCCATTTAACTTTTTTTCATAGGGCTTGCAGTTTTACCGGAAATCGAGATTAACCGTTTTTTACTCTTAAAATATCACCCCCTCCCCCTTCCCGACCTCAGATCGCCCGTAATTTATTTTTCCTTTCATTTTTGTTATATTCTCTACCTTTTCCAATGGGTTTCATCGTACTATATTTTTTTTGGTATCAAAAATTATCGACCCTGGTCTAAAGGGCATAACGGATTTTTCGCTCGAATTGGAGCGCCCGTTTGGGGAAGTAACCTCCAAGTCCTCCAACTTACAGAAGATCCACTACCATACCACTACAAAATAACACTACATTTGGTGGTGTTGTGTTTCTGTTGGTGGGTAAGGTTCCAGGGTTCCACAGGGTAGGGTTTGGGGTTAGGGTAGGCAACGGAGCGAGTGATAGCTTTGGTACCGCAAGCGTTTATAGGTGGTCGCTTACCATTAGGCGGCCCACATGTGGTTACCCACCCTTTTAACATAAAAAAAATAAAATGATCGCGGTATTTCATTGCACCAAGGTGTTCATTATGTCATTATGATTAATTGAGTGAGAGCTGAGTCCGTCTTAGAAAACTCCCTTTTTTAGATTAACACTGATCTGTACCTGTGTTTGGACTTTGCACCAAAAACCTCGGTGTACCAGAAAAGCTCTTATAACATGTGTGTGGGGAACCCACTACATATTTATTCACAACATTGTTGGCACACCCCGACTCCAAAGCTAAGTAAGGTCCAAGCCATCAAGGAGTTTCCAGCACCAAAAACAGCCAAGCAGCTTAGAAGATTCTTGGGAATGCTTAATTTTTACAGGAGATTCATTCCTCAAGCTGCCCAGATACAAGCTCCTTTGAACGCTCTTTTTACAGGCTCGATCAAAGCTTCGCACCCAAACGTTTGGTGCGAAGCTTTGATCGATGTGCATTAAGGTATACAATAGAATTCCAAATCAATTGAAGCACGGAACTATAAAATTAATGGCAAAAAAAATGGTTGCCTGTAAAGTCGGTTTTACGGGCGAAGATTTTACGTGACAACGTCTTTTTCTCGGTAGAATATTTATTGATATGAATATAATTAAATTGCACAATAGGAACAAGGAATTGAATGAAAATAAGAATTGCACAAATTTTAACTATAGAAATATATTTTGTTTACTAAAACATTGTACATGTAAACTTAAACTTAACACGAGAGACTCATCGTAACGTTACCGAGCGTTACACTTTTTCATAAGTGACTCCCAGCCGCAACCTAATTTAAGACGTTGTCACGTCAAAAGTTACAGGAATGGTTAATAAGTAAATGTTTTTTTTATTATGAATTTATAATTGTAATTTTGTTGACATAATGAAGAAATGGCTATTGACTTAAAAAAATGGTTGCCTGTAAAGTCGGTTTTACGGGCGAAGATTTTACGTGACAACGTCTTTTTCTCGGTAGAATATTTATTGATATGAATATAATTAAATTGCACAATAGGAACAAGGAATTGAATGAAAATAAGAATTGCACAAATTTTAACTATAGAAATATATTTTGTTTACTAAAACATTGTACATGTAAACTTAAACTTAACACGAGAGACTCATCGTAACGTTACCGAGCGTTACACTTTTTCATAAGTGACTCCCAGCCGCAACCTAATTTAAGACGTTGTCACGTCAAAAAATTGACATGTATTGTATAATTATTATGTGTAATATAATGTATAGTTATTATATTTAATAATTATTGTAATTATGTTGACATAATGAAGAAATGGCTATTGAATTAGAAAATTTGACATGAATTATATAGGTAATTATTAGAATGCAACTATTACTCAATTTTCAGAATCAATTTCAAAATTTGAATTTTCAGATCATTTATTAGTATTTTGTATGCTCTTCCAAGGGCGAAACATATGGAACTTTTTATATTATTTACCAGCTGTAACAAACTATGTTTCATGCAAATAAACTTTCATTTCTGGATGTTTATTTCAATGTGCAGTCGCGTCATATCGCCGTGCTTGAAAAAGCAAACACAACCGTATTTGTTGTTGTCTGCCACCCATCTCGGAATTGTCCTTTAAAGAAGGATAAGCGAACTCACCTATGATTTGTTTTTGGCTCGGGTCGTACTGGATGCAGGCGGACAATGGCCGGGTGGCGTCCCATGTCCCAGACCATGGCTTATGTTGTTGAGGTTCCTACAGATGACGAACAAACAATGTTTGAGGCGTCGTCCTAATTGGCAATGATTGTGCGATGACACGATACGATCTCATCGTGCGATGAAAAACTGTACACAGGTTCGTACGACGACTTAGGAGGTGTATAAAGACACTTTTGAAGAAATCTTTATATTTGAACTCATCGCACAAAGGGATCGAGTCCATCGTACGGTCGTTGTCAATTAGGACGACGCCGAATATTATCCATATAATCCTTATTCTAATGTAGACATACGTCTTCCTCATAGATGAATGATTGGTCTCGCTTCAAAATCATTTATCTATGGTCTTCCTAATGGATATATATATATATATATATATATATATATATATATATATTCTTATATGGAGGGCAGGTCATACTAGATGCACTACGCGGTCATATGAACAGTAATGTAGGAGATCCTCGAAATTAAATTACGCTGAATCCATCTTTTTACTGTAATAGCAAATAATTTAAGGAACGGTAGAATAAGCGGATAGAAAATATTGTCCAATACACCGTGTAATATGCAGCATGGGAGTGTGCTAGATTTTTTAGGCTTAAATGATAGAAATGTAATGAATGAGCAATAAACTCGAGGAGCTCGATGGCGCGGGTGGTTAGCGCGTTCGGCTGCGATCGTTGAAGTTAAGCAACTTTCGCAGTGGTGGGTCAGTGGATGGGTGACCAAAAATCTTCTATCTCGAGTTCCTCTGTGCATCGGAAGACACGTTAAGCCTTTGGTCTCGGCTGCTTCTGCAGTCGTTAGCACCCGCCAATCCGCACTGGGCCCGCGTGGTGGGTCATAGCCCAATCTTCTTATTCCATCCATAGGGAAGGCCTGTGCCCCAGCAGTGGGGACATTAATATGCTAATGATGATGATGATCAATAAACTATACAAAGTTCCTGATATCCTCAGTAGAGAAGTGTGACAAAAAAAAATTGACAAATCCGAATAGGTCTTGAAAACGTAGTCTCATTCCATAATATAATATTTAAAATTCGCGCAAAACAAGTCATATACGTTTCATGTATTTGAAATCCCTTTAGTCTTAGTTGATCTAAGTGATAGCGACCCCAATAATTCACATTTTAATGCTGTAATAATTTCAAGTGTCTACTTATTTCATTCAAGAAACGGGCGCGGCCGTCGCGTGCTACTTTTTAAATGCAAAGACTTTATTTCTCATAAAAAGATACAGTTTACATAATGAGATTTACAATTTTCACATTTTAATATTACTTTGTGACCGCTTCTGCAGTATCGGTTTAGTATACAAACAATTACATTATTGTGCTTATTGCATCGTTGTGAAAACAATATTGTTTGAATTTTCCTATTATACAATTCTAAAGTTATGTGTGATATAGTCTATTAATTTTCTTATAAATGCATTTTTACAATCGCAGTTTTTTAATTTCATCTGGTAGCTCGTTAAACAGTTGTACTCCCTCAGATAATCGGGGGGCACGGCAGTGTCTATTTGAGAACCTCTGGATAAGACCAGAACGCATAAATTTTCGTCATCCAGTAAGCTATAATAACTTACTTAAAATCCAAAATTTCAAGTCTGTAGGTCATTTAGTTCCGAAGTTAAGCGAAAGCAAAGTTTCGCATTTATGACACTCACTCACTCATGATCATCAGAATAGAACTAGTACTTCCCATAAACTCAGAGAGCTGAAATTTGCTACAGAGTTAGGGTTTAATGGCCACATAAAGGGAAAACTATAAAAACTAGGATAATCGAAGATCTGGAGTACCTGGTGACAGGTGCGGTCGCAGCCTGAAATTTTGGAGGGGCTCACCCACTACACTAATAAAAAATAGGTATCTGGAATAAAATAAACATTATTCCACAAGACACTTTTTGACACAAGATTTTTCAATTTGACCTTAGATTTTGGGGGGGGTCATGTCCCCTGTGACCCCCCCCTTCGGACCGCGCCTGTCTGGTGAGCCATATTGTTTTCCTCCCATAACTAGTCCGTGTATTAATAACTTGTAATTTGTTGGTGTTTCTTAAAGAGTGGTTTTGCGGGGTTTTGTAACAAAATCACACAAATGCAGCCTGGGACTAGTATAGATTACATCCACATAATAATTAAACGTAAGATAAGATTAAAGATTGAATACGACGCTCTGTGCTCAGTTAATATAGTATACGCAATTATTTTAGCGGATGGAAACAGTTGTTCCGACATCTCCTAAGAGTTGAAATTCATAAGGCAATCTAGATTGCGTGCCACAGAAGTTCGTGAAAGGGGTCTCTCCGTATAATTGGATGTGTAAACGTTGAGAATCAAATTTTGTGAAATGATGTTTCGAACCAACTAGGTAGGTACCATAAACTGAATTGTCAGGATATATGGGCTGGCCTTATTTGCCGAAGAACCGATAACCGTTGGGGTAGACGAGTTCTGGAGTGAAGACCGCGTCTAGACAAACGTAGTGTAGGACGTCCTTAGGCACGATGGAGTGACGATTTGCGCAAGGTAGGCAAGAGCTGGATGCGAGTAGCCCAAGTTCGATATGAGTGGCGTCCAATTGGAGAGGTCTATGTCCAGCAGTGGACTAGGATAGGCTGTTGATGTAGTGCCGGCATTAGATTGGTGCCAATTACATTCTTTTTCAATTATTATTTTTAATTATGTATTTTAAACCTATTGAAAACTTAAATGAAATTATTTTATGTATGTACTGCTCGCAATTTCGCAGTTTAGTAAAAAAACGACCATTTTTGAAAAAAAAAAACAATTATAGAAAGTGTCAAAAAGTATTTTCTGTGTTCAGTTTAAATTATCTACTAAGTAAGTAACCACAGGAATTGATTTATTTCTGTGGTAGTAACATCACGAAATCACGATTGAGCAATTAATAAATTAATGTTAACACAACACAATGTATTAAACGCTGTTACTATCTAGATTTTCTGTTTTAAAGTACTTACTTACATTGTATTCTAAGAAATATAAGTTGTGGGAGCGAGAGGTATACCAGCAAAATCTCTCAATAACCTTCTAAAAGACCTCGGCCTGTCGAGAACTGCAGTAAGTTTAATTTTGGAACGAGTAACTAAGGCTGCATCAGGCTCCTATCAAATGTTCCTAATAATGGCGGGCTTCTTGAGCAGTAAAGGTGAGCGTTGATGCGCATCTCAAACGGTCTGTAGATGACGCGACGCGCACCTTTATATAAAACCCTAAAATATATAATATTTATAAAAAAACTAAAGGAGATTGCTCAGCTTCCATACATGTTTGGCCTAAAGACCAATAATCATGAAAAATTGTTTCCTAGATTCGAAATTATATATAAATTACTGTAGAAACGAATATTATTGACGGACACCCCTGAGAACTTCTTTAAACCATATACACTGAACATATTAAAATAATAAAAAACAAATACGTTATATAGTAAACTAGGGAAATCAAGCCAAGTACCGAAATTATGGATTAGATTCAGGTATATAGAGCATGTAGATTAACAGATAGTTGCCTGTTTTTAAAGTTAATGCATAAGAGTAACTTTTAAAATCAGGTGTCATTTCCGGTTATAATCAGGTACTCTGTGACAGAAACTGTGTGATGATTGTGAATGAGCCACAGATTAGAGAGAATTTTTAAACTCTCGTTAACCAAAGAAAGCTAAGAGATTTAGGTTCTATAGCCTTTATTATTATTCAGTAGCTCCATTATTTTTGTTATGTTTTTAAGATAACCATATTTTAGATTTTTAGTGTATCACACCTTATAATTTTATTTATTTATTAATTTATAGTCAGGCTACGTAGGCCCATAGATAGATACCTTAAAGTCTAACATATATACAGATTATAATGTGTTTATGGAGGTGTTTGGCGAAAAATGTATGGCAATAGACTTTATGATGTCGCCTACCATCTATAATAATTGTCTGAGCACATTTGCATCTAGTGATAATGATAATATAGTTGTGGATATTATTACCACAGTGTAATAAAAAAAATGATTTATTTTATCGATCTTTACAAAATAGATTTGTTTTTATGTAAACAACTTCGATCAGTCTTTGACTGAATGTTACTACACCCATAGCCATTAAAAATGATTCGTATGTTTTCCAAACCGGTAAAATGAAAAGTCCTTTTTAAAGTAAATATATGATACAAAAGTGTCCGTTGAAATCTAATGACTGTAAATTAAATTATAAATTACGCCAAGAATTACCATGTATTTCAATATTTTTTGTGCATTTGGGCCAATTTGAGCAATCTCCTTTGTCATTTTATTTTGAAACATACATTTCAATATTTGTTAATTGAATTAATTACTTGTTGCGTATTTTTTCCTTATAGTTTAATAAATATGCCGTAGGGTATGAGTATGTGTGTGAATGCGCCTTCTATTGAATTTCACCTGTCTTTGATTCTGTTGATTGAGTAAACGGTTGCATGAGTTAGTTGCTAAGCCTTAGCCGACGCAAGCACACGCACGCCTGCCGCATCCCGAAAGTCCTTGGTCCCCGCGCCAACTTACATCGCGTACAGGGGCCTTCTTAAACTTTTCTCTCTCCCACACGATGGACCCGGCACCCGCACGGTGAATCCATGGATTGCTAATTGCTCTCTTTAAAAGATATGTAGCTTTTATTTTGTTTCAAGTTTTCCTGTTATTTATTAGCTTTGTGGATGTGTAAAGCCAGGTACGATAAAATTTAATTTATCAATATTTGTCAAAAAAAATAAAATAACGTACAGTTGAAACGTATAGCCACCCTACGCCACATATTGGTTTGCGGGTACTCGTTGCTCGTCGGCTAATTAATCGTTAGTTCACTGGCAATGGCACTGACGTATGGCGCCGATCGAATGTAGAAATGCACGTATTTGTTTCTTAGGTTTTCACGCACACCACTCATTAAATAAAACAAGTTTCAAGGGTGTAGATGCACTGGTTTATTTATTTATGACGTTTCGCATCCTTTTCAGGCTGCGTCGTCAGAATTG